TTTAGAAAATTTTTTTTTTAAAAGATTATTTATTTGGGAGAGAGAGAGAAAGAGATCACGAGCAGGGGGGAGGGGTAGAGGGAGAAGCAGACTCCCCGCTGAGCAGGGAGTCTGATGCAGGACTCTATCCCAGGACCCTGGATCATGACTTGAGCCAAAGGCAGATGCTTAACCAAACTCACCCAGGCGCCCTGTTTTCAATTTTTTTGAGGAACCTTCATACTGTTTTCCATAGTGGCTGCACAATTTTGCATATGCATCAACTGTGTGAAAGAGTTCCCTTTCTTCCACATCTTCATTAATGCCTGATGCCTGTTTTTTGATAATAGTTCTCCTAATGGGTGTGAGATAACATTATCATTGTGGTTTTTGATTTGTATTTCACTGATAATTAGTGACATTGAGCATATCTATTAGCTATTTGCATATCTTTATTGGATAAATACCTGTTCAAGTCCTTTGCCCATTTTTTAATAAAGTTGTCTCTTCCCAGAGTATTATGAATTCTTTATATATAGTTTGGATATTAACTTCTTATACCTCTTATCAGATATATGGTCTACAAATATTTTCTCCTATTCTATACATTTCCTTTTTACTCTGTTGATTGTTTCCTTTGCTGTGCAGAAGCTTTTTAATTTGATGCAATCTTTGTCTATGTATCTGATAAGGGATAATATCATCAAGAAGGTAAGAGATAACGAGTGTTGGAGAGGATGTAATGGGAAGGGAGTGAACACTTCTGCTCTGTTGGTGTGAATTTAAATTGTGCAGCCACTATAGAAAAGAGTATGGAGGCTCCTTATAAAATTAAAAATAGAACTATCATATGATCTAGCAATTCCATTTCTAGGTATATATCCAAAAGAAATGAAAACAGAATATCAAAGAGATATTTGCACTTCCATGTTTATTACAGCATTACTCACCATAGCCAAGATATGGAAACAACTAAGTGTCTGTCAACAAATGAGTGCATAAAGATGGGATATATATATATCTCACATACACATAAACACAATTGAATATTCTGCTATAAGAAAGAAGGAAATCCTGCCATTTGTTACAACATAGATGGACATTGAGGGCCTTGTGCTAAGTGAAATAAGTCAGGCAGAAAAAGATAAATACTGTATCATGTCACTTATATGTGGAAACTTAAAAAGCCAAACTAGCAGAAACAGACTTGAATGATGGTTACCAGGGTGTGGGGGTGGGAAATAGGGAGCTATTGGTCAAAGAGTACACACTTGGAATTAGAAGATGAATGGGGGTGCCTGGGTAGCTCCGCTGGTTAAGTGTCTTACTCTTGATCGGCTCAGGTCTTGATCTCAGGGTCCTGAGTTCAAGCCCTGCTTTGAGCTCGATGCTGGGTGTGGAGCTTATTTAAAAAAGAAAAGAAAAAAGAAGATGAATGAGTTTTGGGGATCTAATGCACAGTGAAGTGATTATAGTTAACGATATTGTTTTATGTACTTGAAAGTTGTTAGGGGAGTAGATCTTAAATGTTCTTAGTGCTAAAATTAAATGGGAATTTTGTGAAATAATGGTTTTAGCTAACACTGCAGTGGTAATCACACTGTAATATATGTGTATCCAATCAACAGGTGTACACCTTCAACTCATACAATGTTAGAAGTCAATTATATCTTAATAAATCTGGAAAAAAAGCAACAGGGGAGTCCTTGGTAGAGATTCTAACTATAATAAAAAGGGTAAAGTTCTTAAGTCCAGTTAGGTTCTCATTATCCATTACCTGGAATATTACCTGGAACCACTTTAAACCTGCCTTATCTACTTTTGGGGGAGATGGTGGGTAGTGGGGAATTTATGCTGAGAGAACAAGAAATGACAGAGGGTTTGAGAGTAAGATTTTAGCCCCAAACTCCCAAATTCTGGGTAGTTGATCTATAGAACTTGTAATAATTTATGCATTCTCTGACTCTGAGATTTGATGGTAGCTTTTGCTGTGCTGAACTTGCTTTATGAGGCACTTGATAATGTGTTGAAGAGTGGTTTGCTGAGCTATTTGTCCTTGCCTATTTTTCCCTACCAGCAGCAAGTCAGTTCCGTTAGGGTGGAGATAGCATTGGTACTCTAGTATCCATTGAAGGGATTTGAATTTATAGCATTGTTTTTAAGAAAACTGTATTTTAAGCTCCAAGTAACTAAGATATAAGCAAAGCTCTGGGAAACTATAGTCAGGTAAATTGATTATTACTTGAAAGTATTACCATCTTCAGCTGTTTAAAACAAACATCTGTTGAGGATTCTTGAGTGAATTATCCATTGTTTTTGTGCTTACAAATTTTTTGAAATTGTACAGTGAACTACTAACCTCATTACTACTGAATGTTAAATTGTATGGGACTTTTCTCTCCAAAGGCCCGAACTAAAGAATTCCTGGGCCCAGTCATAATAATGACTGTGAATGCAGTCCTCTAAAATAAAAGAAATGGTACTACTGTAATTTGCAGTAGAGCTCTGTAATCTTTAATTTAATAAAACATAACCCAAATAAAATGTTGGCTAGTTGGAATCATAGAGCATATTGCCTTTTTACCCTGGCTTCTTTCATTTAGCAATATGCATTTAAGGTTTCCCCATGTCTTTTCATGACTGGATAGCTCATTTTTTTTATACTGCTGAATAATATTTCATTGTACAGATATAACACAGTTTGTTTATCCATTCACCTGTTGAAGGACATCATGGTTGCTTCCAGTCTTTGGTGATTCTGTAAACATTTGTTTGCAGGTTTTGCATGCATATAAGATTTTAACTCAATTGGGTAAATACCTAGGAGTGTGATTGGTGGACTGTAGTGTAAGGCTGTGTTTAATTTTGTAAGAAATTGCCAATTTTATCAGGTTTCTGGATTTCAACCATTCTAATAGGTATGTAGAAGTATGTCCTTGTTGCTTTAATTTACAGTTGCCTAATCGAATATTACATTTACCATCTTTGCATGTAGTTATTTGCTATCTATATATTCTTTGGGTAAGGTATTTGTTCAGATCTTTTGCCCATTTTTTAAATTGGGTTGTTTTCTTATTTCTGAGTTTTAAGAGTTCTTAGTATATTTTGCATACCAGACCTTTATCAGATACGAGTTTTGCAAAGATTTTCTCAGTCTTTTAATTTTCTTAATAGTGTCTTTTGCAGAACTGAGGTTTTTAATTTTAAGAATGTTCAATTTATTAGTTTTTTTAATGGGTCATGCTTCTGATTTTCTATCTAAAAACTCATTCTCAAATAAGGTCATCTAGGTTTTCTCCTTACGTTTTAGAAGTTTTATAATAAGTCTGCATTTTAAATTTAGGTCTAAGATCCATTTTTTTTAAATTTTTCTTGGTAAGGTATAAGGTCTAGGTCTAGGTTCATCTTTTGTGGATGGATGTCCAAGTCTTCCAGCCCATTTCTTGAGAAGACTATCATTTCTCCATTGAATTACCTTTGCTCCGTTGTCAAAAGTTTAGTTGCTTGTAATTGTGTGGCTTTGTTTCCGGGCTTTCTGTTTTATTGCAGTGTTTAATTTGTCTATTATTTTTCCAATACTATGCTGTCTTGATTACTGCTGCTTTTTGGTAAGTCTTAAAGTCAGCTCGTGTCTAGCTTTTTTAGAGTTTTCTTTTTGTCTTTGGTTTCAAGCAGTTTTTACTATGATATGCCTAAGTGTGGTCAAGTTTTTGTTTGTTTTAATTTATCCCTTGTTGGGGATTTGTAATATTTTATGAATCAATGTTTTATTTCCTCTGTAAATGTTGGGAACTTCTCAGATATAATCTCTTTAAATATAGCTTTTATTTCATTCCTTCATCCTTTTCTGACATATACAGTATAATATATTAGACCTTTACACTGTATGTTCTGTATCTATTATGTTCTTTCACATATTTTTCATCTCTTTATCATTTTATAGTTTTTTCTAAATGTTTTCTTCTGACCTATCTTCCAATTTATCATTTCTTTGGTTGGTTGTGTTTAACTTGCTTTTAAATCCATCTTTGACTTCTCAGTAGTGATTATTGTAATATTTCGTTATACATTTCACTTTCTATTATGGCTTCCAATACTCTTCTGGAATTTTCAGTATTATATGTTATTTCCTTGCACATATCAAAAGGAAAGTCTATGTCTGATGATGCCAAACATGTTTTTGAGTAGTTTGCAAGCAAAGATTGGTTTTTACATTTTTAAAGTGATTAAAAAAATAGAAGAATATACAACAGAGATTGTATGTGGCCCACAGAGCATAACATATTTACTATCCTTTTACTTAAAAAAATCTACTGACGCATGAAGTAGATTCTATATGGATCTGTTTCTATTTGTCATAGTGATAATGTCTTATCTCCTGTATCTGGTTAGTTTTGATGTGGTGTTGGTTATTGTACATGAACAATTACAGAGTTAATTTGGGACTGTGTTGATACTAACTTCTTCCAGAGAAGATTAAAAGTTGCTTCTGGTAGGCAAATAAAGACACTAACAATCTTGAATCACCCACATTCAGTGAGAGAATGAGCTAATTCAGAGGTGGTCTTTAGTCTCTCTGAGGGCTGCTTAATTTCTGGTTCTCTCATATTATAGCCCAAACCAAAGCTTGGGGACTTAGCAGAGATCACATTCTTGGTGTGCCCTGAGTAAGGAGTCCATCGAAATCTCTCAACTGCCTCTATTAGAATCTGCTTCTATTGGAATTGGCAGATGCTTCTGGGATAAAAGCAACTTAAAATGTCACACTCATCACTGTAGATTTTCATCTCTTCTCTGGTTTTAACTTCCTAATTCTTTTTTGCTTTGTTTGTAATCTGTGGCTTTCATACACGTTTTGAAATATTTTTTCTAGCTATTCTAGTTCTTAATGATAAGGTTGGTTCAAATTATTTTGATTGTTATTATTGGAAATAAATTCCACTCTTATATTTACTTATGAATAGTGAAGTGTTTGCTTTTGACTTTTTTTCATGTTTGCTTTTTTAATATTTTTATTTCAGATAGCTTCATTATTTCCCATGTATGTTGTGGGGTACATTGAGCCAAACAAATTTCAGAAGATCATTTATATGAACATGGTAACATTTTTAATATTCATAAGTTAAATATTTAAACAAGATTTCAGGATTTATAAAACAGAACTGACTCTTTTTTGGGGTACCTACTTGCAAGTAGTATTTAATTAATATATATGATGTTGATATTATCCAGAAGGAAAGATTACATTATTATATATCTATATCTGTAATATTCAGATCTATAATAGATGTTTTATGTTCTGTGAAACTTTTAAAAATTTTGTTTTATTTATTATTGTCACTACTTTTGAAATTGCTTTTTCTCCCCAAGACCTGAGACTTTTAGCACTTTGCATTAATGTGACACTGTAAATTTTATGCTTTTGAATTTTTTAAATCTTGGTTTCCAAACACATACATAGACTTTAGATAAGAAAACAAAGCTTCGTTAGTGATGGAAATCTTCAAGTAGTCCAACAAAAGTAAGATTAGAAAATTAATACTTATGATTAAGTCTTTCTTATTATTACTGAATCAATAGAAACAATAGTGCTTTTTTTCTGTTTTCTTTATATCAAGTATCAGAGAAATAAGATTAAATTCTGCTGTATATAAGTTATGGTGTTGAAAAACTTCGAACTTAACTGTGTATTGAAATTCTATTATCATTTGGCCAGGATCTATTTATTAATCTTATTTATGCATATGAAGTTTATATTAGAAATGACTATGCCTGTAGACAAAGTATGCATTATGCTATATATCTAATAACAATAAAACATGTTTCCTTTCTTCAATTTGCAGGTTTCAGTTCTCCTTTGTTTTGTGTTGATGTTTGGAAATCCAATGTATTTATCTTCTTATTATTCTTCATCTTTGTTAATGACTTTGGTAAGTGTTTGCTAAGCCCATGAAAAATTTTTTTTTTACCTGTCAAATAGTAGGTTTACACATGTAATATAAGTTTAGGAGAATAAATAGTGCCCTTCCCTGATAATTGCTCACGTGAAAAACTTTTCCCCAAATAATGCTTTTTTTTCTCTCTCATCCTTGAAAAATGAATACAATACAAAGTTTATCTCTTTAAAGTAATGTCCAGGTAAATATTTTAAAAAACAATCATAAGGTAATAAGACTTACTTTAAAACTATGCCATAATTAATAATAAAAATTATTTATTTCCTTCTACATCACTTCAGTACACTAAATAGTTATTGCAATGACATTACCATTTTCCAAAACATTTTTGCAATGTCTCTGAAATGCTTTCACAGACTGTGGCACATTTTTTGAATATCCTCATTGGTGGCAAATCTTCATCTTTCAAGGGTGGATTTAATTTTTGGAAATGACCAAAGACTTGTGAACAAGGTGGGTGATTAGATCTTGGGTGATCTAGATCTTGATCAAAATATGGTATGACAATAATTAGATTGATTTTCTTGACCATAACTAAATTATCTCTCAAGGCAGTTTGGAAAGAGGAGTTTCAAACTGTTCTGAGCAATGGCAACATGATTAGAATAGTGTAGTCTCCTCATGTGACTTTCATGGGATAACACTCATTTGGATATGTATTTGGGATGGTGGCTCAGTAAAATTGTTTTATTACTTTATAGTCACACTTCTAATATTCACAAGCCACAACAGGGAGTGTTTTCCTCCACTGGAATGTTTCTGGGATATTCTCTTTCCACAATGATCAGAGATGATATGAACCACAGTAATACCAAAATATGGCACTTTTTCATGTATGGTACATTGATTGACTCTTGAGATTATCCCTATATTTTAACATTTTTCTCCCCAAACTTTTTTCCTTTGGCCTCATAGTAAGTAATCCCTCCTTTTTCTTTTTCCCCAAAAACATTTTCAACATTTTATCAGACTTTGTTAGCAAAGTAGAGGACTTGCAATCATCTACCTCTTTTTATGAAAAAATTTTATTTTGAAATATAGCACACATATAGAACACTGCACAAAACAAATGTTTTGTATACTTAGTACCCTATTACTAGTAAGTACTGATAAATGAACTGTTATTTGACATACATTCTTAAACTACCATCAAGTCAAAATGAGAACTTTTCTAACCATTCTAGAAGCCCTCTATGTGCCCTGCCCCAATTATAAATCCCCTGCACTGGCATAAAGCAGAAATAACTATCTGGACTATGGTAATTTCTCCTAGCTTTCCTTTATAGTTTCATCACTTAAGTTTCTATTTTTATCTACAGATTTCCCATATATCTTCCTGGTGTTATTTCCAAGAAATTTTATTTTTTAAGAATTTAGGTCATTGAACATGTGAGGGTTCTGTGTTCTAGATTTTGCTCTTTGAATCCTCATGGTGTAGCTTTATGTCTTCTTTTGCCTTCTTTATTTATAATACCATTGATCTTTGAACAGTACAGGGAGGGGGTTAGGGACATTACACTCCCAAGCCATTGAAAATCCACTTACAATTTTTGATTGCCCTAAAACTTCTGATAACTAACATTGACAGAAGCCTTGTTGATAACACAAAAATTGACTAACAGTGTATTTTGCATATTATATGTATTATGTACTGTATTCTTAAAGTAAGCGCTAGAGGAAAGAGAATGTTATTAAGGAAATCATAAGGAAGAGAAAATACATTTACAGTACTGTATTTATCAAAAAAAAAATCCATGTATAAGTTGACCCATGCAGTTCAAACCCATGTTGTTCAAGGATCAACTGTATATTAATAATTGGACCTAAAACGTATACAGGTTTGATCCCTTTGGCAAGTCTATAGTATTGTTCTTTCATCAGGAGGCACATGATAGCTGGTGCCTCTCTTTTTATGATGGCAGCCATCAGTGCTTAGTGCCAGATCCATTCATTAAATAGGAATTACAAAATGGTGATATATCAATCCTTCACTTACAATTCATATAGGAAAATAAAGTACATGTCTAAATAAAGAAGTTGGGAGGAAGAAAAATATTTGAAGAAATGATGGCCAAAAATTTTCCAAATTTGATGAAAATTATTAACCAAGATATGAAGACTTTTATTGAATTCCAGTACAAGAAACTAAGAGAAAGCTATAATAAGGCACATTATGATCAAATTGCTCAAAATTAATGATAAAGAGAAAATCCTAAGAACAGCCAGAGAAATAAGACATATTAAATATCAAACAGAGGGTAAGGTAAGGATTTTTCATAAGAAAAAATGCAAGCAATAATACAGTCAAACAACATCTTTATAAAATAGAGGCGCCTGGGTGGCTCAGTCGTTAAGCGTCTGCCTTTAGCTCAGGTCATGATCCCAGGGTCCTGGGATCGAGCCCCACATCGGGCTCCCTGCTCAGTAGGAAGCTGCTTCTCCCTCTCCCACTCCCCCTACTTGTGTTCCCTCTCTCACTGTCTCTTTCTCTGTCAAATAAATAAATGAATCTTTAAAAAAAAAAAAAAAAATATGGTGCATCTACAATTCTATACCCAGCAAACATATCTTTCAAAAATGAAGGCAAAATAAAGACTTTATGACCAGCAGATTTTCATTAAAATAATGTTAAAGGAGGTCCTTCAGATGAAAGGAATAAAATATTAGATGTCATTCTGGTTCTACACAAGTGAAGGGACCTGAAAATGAAAGATAAAGGTAAATATGTAAGGTTTTCCTGCCATTTTTAGCAACATGGATGGCCCTTGAGGGCATCATGCTATGTAAAATAAGAAAGACAGATACTATCTTTCCATTTGTGTCTTTAGTTTCTTTCAGCAGTGTTTGGTAGTTCATTGTATTAAGTCTTTCACCTCTTCAGCTAAATTTATTCTTAATACTTTATTCTTTTTGAGGCTATTCTAAATGGGAGTGTTTTCTTAATTTCCTTTTCAGAGTGTTGTTAGCGTGTAGAAATGCAGCATATTTTTGTATGTTGATTTTGTATCCTGTTACTTTACAGAATTTTTAAATTAATTCTGTGTGTGTGTAATCTTTAGTGTTTTTACATAGAAGATCACATTATCTGCAAACAAATAATTTTACATCTTCCTTTACATTTTTTATGCCTTTTATTTATTTTTCTTGCTTAATTGCTGTAGCTAGGACTTCTAGTGCTATATTGAATAGAAATCATGAAAGTTGGCATCCTTGCCTTGTTCCTCATCTTAGAGTAAAAGCTTACGCTTTTTCACCATTTAGTATGATGTTAACTGTGGGATTTTCAAATATTACCCTTAATATGTTAAGGTAATTTCCCTCTATTCCTACTTTGTTGAGAGTTTTTATCATGATAGGATGTTGAATTTTATCAAATGCTTTCCTGCATCTATTGAGATGATCTTGTGATTTTCAATTCCTCATTCTGTTAATGTAGCATGTTACATTAATTGATTTGCATATGTTGAACCATCCTAGTTGCGAGATATATCTCACTTAATCATGGTGTATGATCCTTTTAATGTGTGCTGTTAAATCTGGTTTGCTTGTATTTTGTTAAGAATTTTTACATTTATGTTCATCAGGGCTATTAGTCTGTAGGTTAGTTTTCTTGTAGTATCCTTGTCTGGCTTTGGTATCAGGGTCATGCTGGCCTCATGAAATATGTTTGGAAATGTTCTCTCCTTCTAAGTTTTTTGGAACACTTTGAGAAGGGGCGACATTAATTTTTCTTTAAATGTCTGGTAGAGTTCACCAGCAAAGCCATCTGGTCCTGGTCTTCTCTTTGTTGGGAGTTTTTTTGATGATTTGTTCAATCTCCTTACTAGTTATAGGTATGGTCAGAGTATCTGTTTATGATTCTGTCTTGGTAGGTTGTATGCTTCTCGGAGTCTGTCTTCTATGTAATCCAGTTTTTAGCATCTAGTTGTTCATAATAGTCTCTTATAATCTATTTTGTTTGGGTTTAGTTGTTTCAGATGGGAGAGTATGTGTGGTTCCTGATATATTAACTTGACCAGAAGCAGAAATTCCATTCTAATTGATTTTAATAATTTATTTTTGGGGTGAAATACTATGTTTCTAAGAATAAGAAATATACAAAAAGTTATATTTAGAAAATGTTACTCCCTCCCATTTCTTCTTACTCCATTCTCTCTATCCTTCTTTTTACCTTGGTCCTACCTTTCTTGTAAGATATCTCATTGGTTTTCTGGTTTGCCCATTTAGTTGTGTCTTTTTTTGCACTAATAAATAGTGCATAGTTTTAAAATTATATCTCCTCTTATTTACATGAAAGGTAGCATACTATAGGTAGTTTTCTGCACTTTGGTTTTTCTTTTTTTTTTTTTAAGATTTTTTATTTATTTATTTATTTGACAGAGAGAGAGAGAGCACAAGCAGGTGGAGTAGCAGGTAGAGGGAGAAGGAGAAACAGGCTCCCCGCTGAGCAAGGAGCCCAATGTGGGGCTCGATCCCAGGACCCTGGGATCATGACCTGAGCCAAAGGCAGTTGCTTAACCAACTGAGCCACCCAGGTGGCCCTGCACTTTGGTTTATCAGCCTATTGTAGATATCTTGTAACAACCTATCCTGGATATCATTCCATATAATTTCATAGAGATCTTCTTCATTCTTTTTATAGTTTCATAATACTGCACTGTGCATTTTCCATAGGTAATTCAACTACTGTCCAATGTGTGGGCATCTAGGTTGTTTCTATATTTTGTATTTACAGTGTTGCTGTGTATAATCTGGTATATTTATATTTTCCCATTGCTGGAATTTCAGGAATCCTGGCTCACCTTGAACTAACTAGATGTTGCAAAATTCCACTCAAAATCTAAGTAATACACAGACCTAAGATTTCAGTTTCTCATAGGAAGCTTTTTTTTTTTTTTTTTTTACCCCAAACTTGAGAACAAACAAATACCTTACCACCTTGTAGTAATGGTAAGAGGAGTATTCCTAGTAATTGAGTGTCTGTCAGTTCGGGCTGCTATAGTAAAAATACTATAGACTGGATAGCTTACACAGAAATTTATTTTTCACAATTCTAGAGGCTGGGAAGTCCATGATCAGGGTGCCAGCCAATTCGGTTCTTGGTGAGGGCTCTTTTCTTGATTTGCAGACAGATGCCTTCACTATATCCTTACATAGTGGAGAGAGAGACAGCTCTCCCATATCTCTTCTTATAATAGCACAAGTCCCATTCATGAGGGCTCCACCCTCATGGTTTAATTACCTCCCAAAGGTTTCACCTTCCCATATGTCACATTGAGGATTAGAGTTTCAACACATATGTTTGGTGGGGAACATAAACGTTTAGTTGATAGCACTGAAGGGTATGGTTTTGGAGGACCCCAGCTTTATGCCTATCTCAAGTCCACTTTCTTACCTTCCATAGTCCCAAGCCCTTTTCTACTTTTGATGCAAGCCCATAGTTAAAACTTTATTCTGTAGTTCTCCTTTAAGACTGCCCTAGATTCTCTCCTAATTGTTTCAGTTTTTTAAAGTCATCTGCTTTTCTCTGGCACCTGAAAAATTCATTTTCTTTCTTATAAGTTCACTTAGACATATTTTAAACATTTTTAAATATTTTATTTAGGGATTCAGAGAGGAAGGGTTTTCATGTTAATTTAGACCACTGATTTTGCTGGGTGACTTACATATACCCTTGCATGCACACACCTCCCACATACCATCTACACTCTCAGAGGAGTGGCCTGCACTAGACATCCCAAGTAACTCAGTGAGGAATTAACTTGATTCTAGAAGCAACTTTTTGGCACACAAAGCATTTAGCTCTCACTACAAGGAAATTTGCCAGGTCCAAATTTTGAAAAATCAACAATTAAGGAAAATGGGTGGTTACAGCCAAGATGGAAGCAGGTGACAGTGTAATTTTTGAAATGTATCATTCATATAAAATGTCAATTTTATTTAATTGTTTCATTTTATATCATGTGCATTTTAGGTGATAATTCTAAAGAGAAATAAAATTCAAAGATTGGGAGTGTCTGAACTCAACTTTTGGGTAAGGTTCAACATTTTTAACCATTTCTTCAAACTGTTTATTTCTATTTTTTTTTACCATTTATTTATTTTATTTTTTTCCATTTTAAATAATTTTTTTATTGTTATGTTAATCACCATACATTACATCATTAGTTTTTGATGTAGTGTTCCATGATACATTGTGCATAACACCCAGTGCTCCACGCAGAATGTGCCCTATTTCTATAAACTGAATACAGACAATATACTTTAAAAATTGAATGACTTATGGTCAATAAATCTTATCAATACCTACTCACATAGGGTGAGAAATAGCCCTTAGCCACATCTACAAGTCATTATCAAGAAATGAGTTCATTTATTTCAGCACTCTGCTCACGACTCTCTTTACTTTTCATCTTGCTGTACCCTTACTGCCTTGCTTTCTAAATTTTGAGTTTCTCTCTTTGGATTTACTAACCTTCTCTTCAAAATAACTCAGTCTGTAGTCCTGACCCCACTTTCCCTTTTTCTTTTCTCTACATCTGTCATCTATCTGTTCTTCTGCTTCCCACTTTAGACTATTATTTTTGTCTCTGTACCATTTCTCTACAGTCTCCCAGCCCCTTCTTATTTCATCTCAGCCACTACCTAATCTATTTGACTTCTTCCCAAATATGCAAATGGATGGCCCATGTTACCTCTATATTTGTGTGTTTTGTTTCCAAGTTAAATAAGTGTATTATTAGATAGGCACTGCAATTACTAGTTCTCGTAATATTGGATAGATGACATTCCTTGTTTTTCTCTTGGTCTTTAATGTAGATGTATACCTGTTAAAAAATAAAACCTATATTGAAGAGCTATGTGATTACATATGATATATTAATAGGGTAAAACTGAGAAGTTATGGTAAGATCAGGTAGATTTCTGTTCAGAATGCAAAAGAAGGAAATGGACAGAGTTGCCAGTTACTCACTGCTGGAGGCTTTTTCCCATCCCTAATGATGAAAATATAGGGATATTTGGGTACGTGAATTATTTGATGACATGCCCTTCTAATACATGATTTATTTACTTCAGAAAAATTAGCAATTTTTGAAAGATTAAGCCAAGAAATCAATGGAGAATTCAAAGATCTTCATTTAATAACTGAACTCAAAAGAAAGTCAAAATTTCCATTACTAAACTATTGAAAAATGGAAACAAATAGAACAGTGTCCATGGACATTTAGGGAATTGTGTCAAAGCTGCACTAAAAAGATGTATTAAGTGTTGTCTTAAGTATTTACAATTCAGACTGGAAAGAGTAAAAAAATCAAACTTTCAACTCAAGAATTTCAAAGAAACAAAAATCCAAGGAGAAAAAAGTTGAGATATAATTAATGTTCCACTTACATTTATATTTTGAAGTTGATATAATTGATATTGTCAGTCTTTTGCAAAAGGGAGAAACAAATCATGTTAGTCATCTAGAAAATGCAAAGGATATTTTGCCTTTTTATGGCTTTTTTTTCATAAAAGAAAGGAAAAGCAAAGATGTTTTGTGAGCTAACACTTTTTTTTATACCTCCTCCCCCAAACCTTTTTTAATCCAAGTAATTCTTTCATGCCTGTGGAATAAAAATTATATTGTGTATCTTACTCTGTATGGTATTTAGAAACCAAAGATCTGAGTGCTGAGTGTTCTCATTGCTACCACAGTGTCCTTGCTTCTAGACCCATACATATAGATACATATACACACATACATCTAAATATTTGTCTCATTGAAAGTCCACAAGGAGAGGTAAAAGAGAGTGGGGCTGAAAAAATGTTGAATAAGTAATGGCTGAAGACTTCCCAAATTTGGTAAAAGACATAAATCTACAGAGTCAAGAAACTGAGTGAATCCCAAGTAGGATAAACCCAACAAAATCCATGCCAGGACACATCATAAATAAATTTCTGAAAACTAAAAACAAAAAAAATCTTAAAATCAGGCAGAGAGAAATGATGTGTTACCTATAAGGCAAAACTGATTTGGATTATGGTAACCTTCTCATCTGAAACTGTGGAGCCAGAAGAAGATGGCATAACGTTTGTCAAATGCTGAAAGAATTGTCAACCACAAATTACACGTCCAGTGAAAGTGTCTTTTAGGAGTGTAGGGGAAATAAAAGACATTCTCAGATGAAAGAAAACTAAAAAAATTTGTTGCTAGCAGAGCAACCCTTAAAGAATAGTTAATGGAAGTTCTTGAGCAGAAGGTAAATGACCAGAAGAAATCTTAGAACATTAGGAAGAAATAAAAAACAAAATAAAGGATACCTAAAGAAGTAAATATAATAAACTCTTCTTGAGTATTTCCTTTCATGTGTTTTCTCTCGGTTTATTTTCTTACTCTAGCTAGATGTTTGAATCAAATTTTAACTTATTTTTTCTCTCATTTTTATTGATATGAGTTCTTAAGGCCATGGATTTTCTTCTGATCATTGTTTAAATGACTTTCTTCATTTCTAATATGTACTTTTCATTATCATATTTTAAAAAACTTTGTTTCTCTTTCACTTAAGACTTGTTTAATAGAAACTTTAGGGCTTCTAATTTCCAAGAGGAAGGGCTTTTTGGTTTTCTGACTTTGTTATTAATTTCTAGTTTTATTACCTCATGATGACAGAGGGTTGTTTGTAATATTTTTAGTTTATGTAACTCCTAGATGCTTTCTCTCTGACCTAATGATGATCATTTTTTTTGGTGAGTATTTTATGTTTGCTTGAGATGAAAGTGTATCCTTTATTAATGGGACATGTTTTGATAAATTTATCAACAAGATTAATTTTTAAATGTTCTGGTCTTTTATAGCTTTATGTATTATTTGCCCACTGACCTATCTTGTATTGAAAAAGTATATTTAAGTCTTTAGGTATTAGTGTGTTTCTATTTCTCCTCGTATGTCTAGTAACTTCTGCTGTATAAAGATGGTTGCAGTGCATAGATGTTCATACTTACTATATTTTCTTCATGAATTGTATCTCTTAATGTCAAAATATGTTTAATATCTAATGTTGGTTGGTGTGAACCTTAGTGATGACAGGATTATAAACTATGACTCCTTATTTGCTTTGGTCACTCTTTGTCATCTTTTTGAATCTGTTTCAATACCTCTTCTCTGCACAGCACATGGCAGGTCTTGCTTTGTGAGAATTTAAAGACTTTTATTAATGTCATAAATGTTATGTATATTTTTATTGTATTTACTATTTCTCTACATATTTCATTACATGGTTCTCTTTTATTTTTAACTTTCTTTCTATATTCAGGAAGGTTGTTTCCTCAATTATTTCATGCTTGAAACTGGTTTTCTATAATCTTTATACCTGAATGACAGATGGGCTAGATCTAAAGTTCCTGGTTCCCACTTTCTCGAGTGTCTTGAAAATTCTTCTACACCGTTGATGTGCTTTTATGTTTCTTTTAACATGTATGATACAAACCAAATTCTCTTGCCCTTCTAAATTATGTGGGCTTTGTGCCTAGAATTGTTAAGGAATTTTTCTTCATTTTTAAGCTTTACTAGGCTATGTCTTGAGGTAATTTACCATACTGGTCAGTTTCCTCAGTACATGGTAAGTCCTTTCCAAATGTAAATTCAGGTCTTTTATGTCTAGGAAGTTTTCTTGGATTGTAGTTTTTCTTTTTCAGGCACTCTAATTATAAATATGTTGCCTGTCTTCTGTTTCTACCACTTTCTCTGATTCTTTAACTACCTTCTTTAATCTCATTTTTTATTCTTCTGGGGTTTTTGTTGTTGTTGTTTCTGTCTTCAGTGCTCTTTTGAATTTTTATTTGAATTTCTTCTCCTTTAGTTACCTTGAGATTATCTTCATTTTTCAATGGTTCTCTCCTTTTCTTTAATTTCTTTTCTATATTTAATAAGCACTCTCAATTTTTTTTCTGGTTTTGTCCATTTCTGTTCTTAGTTTTAAAATTTTTTTTGGTGTTTTTTAATCTCTGAATGCTTATTTGAGCTTACTTAATTCAACTTTTACTTCTGCATTGTAGGTTTTTTCTGCTTTGTGAGATTTTTATTCATTAGAGCAGAGATCATCAGCTGAAATGTTTGACTCTCATTTTTTTTAACTTATAGAAGGTATATTATAGGTATTATAGACATCTTTCATCTAATTATTTTGTGGTTAGAGCAGATGTTTTCTAATCTAGGTGCAGCCTCTTTTGTCAATGTAACAAGATGTGGTTTTATCAATTAATAATAATTTCCTTCATTCATCTTTTGGTGACAGTAAGTAGTAATTGTTTGTTTTTTGTTTGGTCATTTATTTTTCTGGATACTTAATTTTTCTTTCTTGCTTATTTCCTTTTCCACACATTCTCCTAGAGAGTTTCTCTCTTTTTTCTTTTCTCTTCCTCGCTTTCCAGAAATAATACCTTTTTGGGATCAGAATTTTTTATACTGAACCCTTGAAGTCCCTGCTCTATAGCCCATTCTCCAGTCTTCTCACACATAAGGTGGACTTTCTTTTTCTGGAGTTATTTCAGCTCAGTTTGGGACCCCTCATTTCCCTCTCCCCTCTTCCACATGGTTTTGAGACTCCCCACATTCTCTACAAAGGCTTAGATCAGGACTTGAGGTTTAACTTTGCTGTATGTGTTGTTTCTTTCTATTTACAGGTAATTTGAAGTTTGTACTGTTACCTGTTTTTTATATTTGTGGTTGCATTGTTCTACTTGTTGGATAAGTATGGAGAGATTTGGATTTAGGCCACTATAATTTTCCTCAGGTTATCTTGAAGTCCACATTTGTGTTCTTTCTAATCAAGGTTAACCAAAAAAGAAATAAAAGACAAACAGAAACCCCCATGTAAGTTTTAGTTTCTATTTCTCTCTTTAAAATGAAAGCTTAAGTTTTCAAATTTTCCTTTCTTGAAGAAGGATTTATATAATTTTATTTCCAAAAGAGTGGTAGAAGAATTTTTTATAATTTAATTCTACTTTTGAAAAAAGGACTTTTCAGCTAGGAAATAATATTTGGAAACAAGCATATAGCTCCTTTTTTCACAGAAATTGAAAAGAAATAACTTTTAAAAAATTCCTTTAAAATTTGTAGAACTCTAGTGTTATGTATTTTATAAGTGTCATCTCTTTCAGTTCTTTGCCTTTAAACAAAATTTTCTAAAGGAATATCCTTTTTTAGACTTCATCATTAATATTCTTCACATGATTAAAATTTTCCTGTACCATTTGTTGATATAATTGAATATTTTAACTGGGTAATTTTTAATTTTTATATTATAATTTTATTTTCTAGCTTATTCAAGTTTGTGCTTGGTTGTGTGGAACAATTATTTTGAAATTTCTGACATCTAAAATCTTAGGTGTTTCAGATCATGTAAGTACTTTCTAGTTAAAGCATAAAAATTCTTGCAAATATGTAGCTAGATGAAAACTTTGAAACCATCTACTTTTACCTATTTATTTTATAGAGATTAATTGCCTTCTTCAAAGTCCTAAGGGGTAATTATTGGCTGAGTCAATAATAAAACTGTGCAGTTCAATGATCTTTTCAACCCACTAAGAAAAAACTATCAATGAATGCTGACTTAGCCATCCAGGAAAAATACTAATAATATCTTAAGTAGTTATATGTTTGTATTTCAGTTAAAATACAAATAGGGGCATCTGGCTGGCTCAGTCAGTAGAGTGTGCGACTCTTGTTGGGGTCGTGGGTTCAAGCCCCATGTTGGGTGTGTAAATTAAAATCTTAAAAAATATTTGTTTAAAATAATAAGTTATTTATTTATTGCAAGTGTTAATATATAAGCAGGCTGTGCTCAGCTTTGAAGTATAAAACACAATCTCAATATAGTTTTATATATGTATAATTACAGACTAAAATTAAGATGTGACTTGATATTTTTAAAACTTGTAAAAGGAAATGGGAAATGTTAAAAGTTCTCTCTCTTTTCATCTTCTGGAAAATATATGGACCTATCCCTCATGTGTGGTGTGTGTTTGTTTTAAAGCCAATGTCTTACCGAATAGCCTTTGTTTAAGCAGAAGTCCCTACTTAGCTAATCAGTTCAGGGGAACAGAAAAAAGTGCAGGAATTTATTTTTGATTCTTGACACTTACTATTTGGATAGAAGTGCACATGAATGTATCATACAATAACCTACTCTGAAATGTACTTCATGTAGGACTATCCAATTGGGACCCTGTCTAATGCTGAAATTTCTTCACCTTTAACAAGGGATTATGATACTCTCTGAAAGGTCAAGTGCTTTCACTCTCCAGGAGAATTGAGCTTACATACATGTGGAGGTTAAATAAAATTACAAAATGTAAGGATTTATTCACCATTTATTGCTAGCTCTGCATGGTGATTCCTTAGGTTTATTTGTTGCTGCTGTTCTCTGGTATGTCTGACATATTTTCCTTTTTTCTTTCCCTTTTTGTTCTTAACTTTTCATTCTGTAGGGGCTGTACATTTTACGGTAAACTTTATTGAAGTCTTCTAAGTCATTTATTTATCTGTTAATTTGGTCTGTGCTTTTCTTTTCTGCCTTGCTTCACATTGTCACCCAGTTGATTACAAATCTTACACACACGCATATACACATCCCTTTGATGTACTCTTAAGTGACTTCCTATATGTAACAGTTGTGAGAAAGACTTGAAATGAAAGTGGTTTGGTTAAATTATTATCAATTGTCAGGCCTAGTCCAAATTAGAAAAATAAAGTCTAAATTATTCTTGCTACTGGTAGATACGGGGGAACCATAGATAAATGAAAACCACAGACAGTTGTTAGGTTTGATATAAAATAATTTTTGTTCCTGCAAAATAATTTGAATTAAGGTTTACATACCAAATATTTTCTTTTTTTGGCCTTCTGAGAATGCAGTGGAAAAATAATTATCTCACTGACATTAGATAATAAATATTCAGTAGAAAATAAGTGTTCTACATTGAGTTTTGTTGGTGCTACTTATTTCAAAGGCCTTGGAGATCAAGTAATTAAACCAAAGTAGTGTGCATAGTTGTTGTAATTCTTATGATGAGTAGCTCTTATGTTTAATGGCTTGAATGTATGTCTGAAAAATTCAACAAGCAACAAAAATTGGAATCTGTGTATGAGGCTTTGTGAAAATGACAACACATAGAAAATTTATTCATGATTTGCAATGTGTAGTGAAAGGGTTAACATGAGATTGTTTCCTTCTTAATAAATGATGATTATAAAATCTCATGATTAACTGCATGGTGGTTTCTGCCCAATGAGTGTTGATTTTAGCTCACTCTTTATATTATCATCTTTATTTTTTCTGACCTCTTTCTTCTTTTCTTTTGATATTTCTCTTTGTTTTCAGTTTTCTTCATAATTCAGTGCATAGCAATGTATAGCTCACTGATTTTTCTTTAAATTTTCTTTGAGGGGCATCTATGTACCTTGGATTATCTCCTTTGTAGACTTTACTAATATAACCAATTATTATTGACCATAATTCTTAGTGTAATTTTAATTTGTTTTACTTTATTGTCTTCCCAGATTCGCCTGAGTGACCTTATAGCAGCCAGAATCCTAAGGTATACAGATTTTGATACCTTAATTTACACCTGTGCTCCTGAATTTGACTTCATGGAAAAAGCGGTATGAATATTATTTTTTATTTTTTCCTTCTCTACAGGTATGATGGTTTTTTGCTCTTGAGTTTTCCTTTTAATCTGAAACTCACAGTTTTTGTTCAGAGACCCCCAACTTTATCATTTTTTTTACTATAACTTTTATTAGTCATACAGCATTCCTCACCTGTTTTTTTATGTGTAAAATCAATAAACAGTGACCTCTATCTTAAAGTTATTGATGATGATTAAATGAGATAATCCAGGAACAGTGCTGAAAATACTATTTGATCCACAGTGAATTACTATTATTACAATTCAATTACTTTTATTTTTTTTAAAAGATTTTTTAATTTATTCAATTGAGAGAACAGAGCGAGCCAGAGCATGAGCAGGGGGCAGGTCAGAGGGAGAGGGAGAAACAGACTCCCACTGAGCGTGGAGCCCATGTGGGGCTTGATCCCAGGACTCTGGGATCATGACTGGAGCTGAAGGCAGACGCTTAACTAACTGAACCACCCAGGTGCCCCATACAGTTCAATTACTTTTAATAATCTAAGTCACTTAGAGGTATGGGACTGCTCAGGAAAAATAAATCCAAATTCTTGTTTTGGTTTTCAGAAACTTTAGTTTTATTTCACTTAACACTCCAAATGTTGTAAAAAATTTTAACAAGATGTTGCCAAGAAAGGTATACTACTACTAAGCATACATTATTCTCTTATCTATCCAACCAGTCATACGTTCACTCAAAAACTATTATGACTACTATTTATTTATCTGTGAGGCAGTTTGCTGTAGGACTGGCTACAATGGTAAATCACTCCAACCACATTAATGGGTCATGAGAATTATTTAGCTGCTGATGCCATTTTATTGCTTACTCATATTTACAGTAATTACATTGACTGGATTTCTTCCTTGTTTTTTTCTAGTTTCACCAAGGAAAATAATGGAATTTTGCAGCCCAGGAAATGATAATGTAGGGTCTGGGGATCAGTAAACATAAAATTTAAGAATTAATACTATGTAAATAACAGAAAGATAAAACCAAAAGAAAGGAAAAAATAATAAACATAGCTTATTTTTGGTTTAATGGCTTTTACTGTTAAAATCTTTGGTACATGTGTATAATTTTTTATAATTTTCATTCTTGTATTAGAAGATGAAGGTTGATAAATATATATAATCTTAATGACAAAAACATTTTTACCTTTAAGAAACTTCATTGTGATAGTCAATTTGACGTAGATTTTTACTCATTTAACGTAAAATTTAATAATAAATGGCTATTGAAATAATTTGCTTTATTTCAGACTCCATTGAGATACACAAAGACATTATTGCTTCCAGTTGTTATGATGATTACTTATTTTATCTTTAAAAAGGTATTTTAAAAATATTTTATCATTTGCTTTTGGGTTCAAGATAAGGACTAAAGTGGATTAATGCTAATAGCTTGGAATTCCATTTTATTTTTAGGATGATCCCATACCCCCTAAAAAAAATTTCTTATTCAGATCTCTCTTTATTTAGTATTACATGGGTTTTTTAGAAAGCCTCATCAGAAAGGATATTCTTTATTCTTTCTAAAGAAATTTATCAGTTACCCACTATGTACCATGAACTACATTCACAGTGTTAGTCCACTGGGGCAAATAAAACAGGCCTGCTCCTATCTTGGAACTTATAGTCTCAGTGGGTGTGCACAGGCATTAAGCAAATAATCACACAAACGACTAAAGAATTAAAATTGTCATAGGTGTTGTGAAAGGAAAACAACAGTTTGATCTCTTCTAAATATAAAGGGCATTCAAGGAAGTCTTGATCCATTTTAAGGCATGCACAGGAGAAATCTGTATAGATACTCTTTAAAACATTGTCTATATATTCACTATTTTCCCAATGAAAGAAAGTATTATTATGAGAGAAAGAATAACGTTCTAAAATACCTCTGGCAGGTTTTCTTGGTCTGGGAGTGGTGTATCTGAAAGCCTAGCTAAAGAAACTGGGTCTTAGTTTTTAGCATTTTTGAACCATCTTTATATTGTTTAAGTCAGTATGTATTTATTTTATACCTTCAAGTAGATAACAATAACATTTCTCTACTACTCTACCAGGTGTGATCCTGTTGAAACTAGTTTTCTTTATTTAAAGTCAAATTGCGTATCTTCTCTGTACAGTTCCAGGTCCCACATTTCTCATTCCTGCGTTTGCACATAAAATGTGAAAAATTTGAGTGAGGAAGGCATCTGCCTCTACATCTCTGTGGTTTTTCCCTTGATCCAGTTCCCTGGGGACCACTTGGAAAGAGGATAGAGGTAGTAAGAAGGAATGGGTCAACTACACCCAGTGTCCCCTAGGCTCCACCTAGCTCTCCACTAGCCTCTTTCTATTCCATCATGACAAATGGTGCTATTCTTTAAGGCTCCACTTAGAGGACCTAATGCAGGAATTAACTCTTCAGTGGGGAGATAGTGAACATGGGAGAAGATGATAGCTAGATCTACTATTACTATTTTTTTTTTAAATTAAGATCCACGACTCATAAACATAGCCCCCAAACACACCACAGCTCAAACCATGCATATGCATTAACAGGCATTTTTGTGCATTTGCTGCGTGTGTACACACATGTGCGCACACAGACATGTCCCCATCCCTGCAGCTATTAAAGCTTAACACCTTTCTGTCTCCATATAAACCCCTTCTCTTTATTTGTCCCATTGTGGCTAATTTTTTTCCTCAAGAATACTTCTGATGTTCATTTACTTTTTCACTTGTGTGAAATCGCTTCTGGGAAGAAAGAAGAAAAGCATATTGAATGATTTTTCTGTGAAATTACTGAATCTTAAACTCCTATAAGCGCATATATTCTATTAACTAAACCCCTAAATAGGCTTTTTGCTTGCCTGAGTGATCAGAATCTCATGTGTGTCACTTGAAACATTCATCCATAAAAAATGCTCTTGAATGAATGAGAGAAATTAAAAATTCTTTTTTTTGAGAAATTAAAAATTCTAAACTTAGATTTCATTTTAAAATTCAAGTTTCACTATGTATTTTTCATTGTTTATCTCTAAGTTATAAACCACATATTGTGCACAGTATAAAACTTGAAGTTTGCTGTAAATGTTTTACTGTACCTTTAAGTTGCCTAGGATTGAAGGTAAAGACTCTTTGGCCCAGTTAAGCCCCCACATTCCCCTTCACTCCTCCCTTTGTCCTTCCCTCACCATCACGTGGTACATTGTGGTAAGGTGCTCTTTGGCCTTCTGTAGGGGTTATTTCTGGCTGAGATAGATCAGAGAAGAAGATATGCCAGAGCTAATTTTATAATAATCAGAAACTTCAGTGAAGCAGCAATATAAATGGCGTGGGTGGGAGGAGGGGGGTGGGTGGGGCGCGGGAGAGTTGTGGGGAAGGAGAGAGAGATTACTACTTTGCTTGGAAGGTTAAGATAAAATAGTCTCTGAAAGTACATGGAAGAAGCTGCCTCCTTGGTGGAAACCAATTCCCGACTTTCAGCCCACTTCCCTCCCAGTAAAATATAAACTTCAACTCTAATAAGGAGTTGCCCACATGTAAGAGCTTAGAATTTTAGAGTTGAAATGGACCTTAAAGATTAAAGAGGGCACATATTGAATGGAGCACTGGTATTATATGCAAACAATGAATCATGGAACACTACATCAAAAACTAATAATGTAATATATGGTGATTAACATAACAAAATAAAAAAAATTGTACAAAAAAAAAAAAGATTTACCCCAATACCCTTTTCTTTCTTTCTTTCTTTCTTTCTTTCTTTCTTTCTTTCTTTCTTTCTTTCTTTCTTTCTTTCTTTCTTTTTCTTTCTCTTTTTCTTCTTTCTTTCTTTCTTTCTCTCTCTCTCTTTCGTTCTTTCTTTCTTTCCTTTCTTTCTTTCTCTTTCTTTCTTTGTTTCTTTTTTAATAAAAGAGGAATTTAGAACTTCAAGAAAATATTTGCCTGAGGCAGAGATGGGATTAAAGTGTTACTGAGGACTCACTTTAACAATAAAAACACTTCTTTCTAGTGAGGGTGTTTATGTTAATGAATCAGAGCATGTTAAATGTCACATAATTCCTTAGAAAAGCTTAATTTATTCTATTCACAGGTTTATCGTGATATTTTATGTGTCTTATCTGCAAACACTTATCTAAGGTAATTATATCATAATTGTTTTTAAATCATACTGTATTCAGTTATTAAATAATTACTGTAATAGCAAATGAATGTATATTAAACCAGCATTTTGATTAAGAAAGGAGACATGAACCAATCTTAGATGTTCTCTTTAAAAAAAAAGAATGTATTATTCTTAGATATCTCTTTTATGTTTTTGGACTTGTTTTGGAGATATTTCTATTTGACTTAACTCAAAGTTCAAGTGAATTTAGTTTAATTTTAATATATGACTAGAATTTAAAGTCCATAAACAGAAGTAAGCTAAAGTTTTGCTTTGGCAATTCTTTTTTTTAACTTTCAAAGAAAATATAATTATTTTTCTGTGTATTCATGATATAGTTTTTCTGCCGTTTTTGTTAAAACCATTTGCTGTATCACATTTTTTGGTGGTTTAAGTGAAGTCACTAACTTCACTGGCACAAATTATGTGAGAAAAACATAACTCAAATCACACATTGCTATAGGACTTGAGAGATTGTGAAGAAAACTTCCTTATGAGGAAAATCTTAAATTACATTTTATACTTGTAGATATATGATTAAATTTGATGTATTAATGAAGTTTATTTTTTAGGACAGTTTCAGATTTACAGAATAATTGTGAAGATAGTACAGAGAGATTCCATGAGCCCCATACTCCATGCTTGTATTTTCAGTAAACAGTTTCATATGGTTGTCAGAAGGACTTAATAGAACTTTATGGTTGAAATGGTTAAATCTTATTTGTTGAAATCCAAATCAAAGGGCTTAATAGACCCACTCTACTTTGTTCTGGTCAGATGGAACCTAGAGGAAAATGCCTTGACATTGTAAAAAGAGTGTTTTTAGAGCTCTGAGAACTATTCACATAAGGAATGCACAAAGGCACCTGGGATATTTAACTGAATAATAGAAGATTGAGAAGTACATGACAGCTGTCTTCAAATATTTGAGAGGGTACAGTGTAGAAGAGGACAGACTCAAGGGGACGAAAGGGTGGAAGATATTTAGCTCAAAATAAGGAGGTGATTACATTCCTAAAAGTGATAGCCTTGTTGTGTGTGTGTGTAGAGCAGTTTTTTAAATTACAAAATAATACATGCATATAGTAATGCATACAGATGAAATAATATTTCAAGAAAAGAGGGAGTGTTTCTGTCCCTTAGATCTACTCCTCACTGGTGCTGATTGTAAATGGTTTATATGTATCGTTCTAGAAAACATTTCCAAAAACACAATATTTTTATAAAAAAAATAGAATCAGTATTATGTAACTTTTTATTCTTATTTAATAGCGTATCTTGGGTGTCTGTCTAGATCTTCCTCATACTTTGTAGTGGTCTCCACATTTTATTGTTCATCATAATGAGTGATTACCAAGTATTTAGCCATTCCCACAGCAATGGGTGTTAAGATTATATTTATCTTTTTGTCATAACAGCCAGTGCTAAGAGTAATGAACATATCTGTACATATTTCTTTGCATACTTATTTTAATGTTCAGAATATTTGAAATGGGACTGCTAGGTCATAATATGAATATTTATAATTTGATAAATACTGAGAACTTATGCTGAGTGTGTGAACACCAGTATTATCAAACTTTTAACATTTTCTTTCTGACAGATTGAAAAAAAGGAACTCATTTTATCAGTCTTGACCAGTGAAGTTTTACATCTTCCAAATGTGTGTGACATATTTACATTTCTTGACCATTTGAAAATTGATGTGTGGGATATTTTAAATTATGGACAGTAACCTTTTGCCTATTACATGTATAGAACATTTCTTCTAGGTTATCAGTTTATAGTTTATTAATGGTTTTTGCTTTATAGAAGTTTAAAATTTCTATACAGTCACAACTATACATTTTCTGTGTTAATTTATTGCTTAGAAACACCCACATCAAAATCATTAAATTATTTCCAAATATTTTCTTTCATATTTTTCATTTTTTGCCAAATAAGAATATATTTAAAGCATACAACACAATGATTTGATATATATATTTAAACACATTATGAAATGATTACCACAATCAAGTCAGTTAACACATCTAATACATCCATCACCTCAGGGTTACCTTTCTGTGTTTGAGAATGCTTAAGATCCACAGTCTTAGCAAACTTTATATAATATGGTATTATTAACTGTAGTCACTATGCTCTACATTAGTTTCTCAGAACTTCTTCATCTTATCACTAAAAGTTTGTACCCTTTGATGAACATCACCCCTGTTATCCCCCATTACGCAGCCACAGCAACCATAATTCTATTCTGTTTCTGAGTTTGACTTTTTTCTCTTTTATAGATTCCACATATAAGTGATACATAAAGTATTTGTCTTTCTTTGGCCTATTTCACATAGCATAATGCCCTCCAGTTTTATCCATATTATCACAAATGGCAGGATTTCCTTCTTTTTTTTATGACTGAATAATATTCCATTGCTTATATGTATATACCACATATTCTTTATCCATTTATCCATCAACAGACACTTATGTTGTTTCTATATCTTGGCTATTGTGAATAATGCGTCAATGAACATGGAAGTGCAGATATCACTTCAAAATAGGGATTTTGATTCTTTTGGATATATTCCCAAGAGTAGGATAGCTGGATCATATGGTAGTTCTATTTTTAATTTTTTGAGGAACCTCCATACTGTTTTCCATAATGGCTGTACCAGTTTACATTCCTACCAACTATGCACAAGGGTTCCCTTTTCTCTACATCCTCATCAACATTTGTCTTTTGTCTTTTTGATAATAGCCATTCTAAAAGGAGTGAGGTGATATCTCATTGTGGTTTTGAATTGCATTTCTTTATTAGTGATATTGAGTACATTTGCATTTTTCCTGTTCTTCTTTGGATAAATGTCTCTTCAAGTCCTTTGCCCATTTTTAAAATCAGATTATTTATTTTTTTGCCATTGAGTTGTATGAGTTCCTTATTTACTTCAGATATTAACCCCTTATCAGATACAGAGTTTGCACATATTTTCTCCCATTCCATAGGTTGCCTTTTCATTTTGTTGATTGTTTCCTTTGCTGTGCACAAACTTTTTAGGTGATGTCATCCCACTTGTTTATTTTTGCTTTTGTTGCTGGTGCTTTTGGTGTCAGATTCAAGAAATCATTGCTAAGACCCCTGTCAAAGAACTTTTCCCCTGTTTTTTTTTTTTCTTCTCATTGGAGCTTTAAGGTTTGAGGTATTGCTTTTAAGCCTTTCATCCACTTCAGCTTAATCTTTGTGACTGGTGTAAGATAGGAGTTTAATTTCATGGTTTTGCATGTGAATATCCAGTTTTCCAACCATCATTTATTGAAAACACTATCCTTTACCCATTGTGTGTTGGTGCCCCTATCAAAGATGAATTGACCATATATATACATGGGTTTATTATTGGGTTCTCTATTCTGTTCCATTGTTCCATGTGTCCATTTTTATTCTTGTACCATACTCTTTTGATTATTGTAACTTTGTGATATAGTTTGAAATCAGGAAGTGTAATACCTGTAGCTTTGTTCTGCTTTCCCAAGATTTTCTTGGAACTTCAGGGTCTTTTGTGGTTTCATATGAATTTTAGGATTGTTCTTTTTATATCTGTGAAAAATGTCACTGGAATTTTGATAGGGATTGCATTTGAATCTCTAGATTGCTTTGGGTAGTATGGATATTTTAACATAATGTCTTCCAAACCAAGAACGTAGATATTCTATGTTTTATTTATTTATTTGTGTTGTTTTCAGTTTCTTTCATCAGTGTCTCACAGTTTTCAGTGTAGAGGTCTATCTTCTCGTTGGTGAAATGTATTCCTAAATGCTTTATTGTTTTTGATGCTATTATAAATGAGATAGCTTTCTAAATTATCTGTTCAGATAGTTCATTGTGATTGTGTAGAAATGCAACTGATTTTTGTGTGTTGATTTTGTGTTCTACAACTTTATTCATTTATTAGTCTTAACAGTTTTTTGGTGGAGTCTTTAGGGTTTTCTGCATATAAGATCATGTCATATGCAAACACAGATAGTTTTACTTCTACCTTTATTATTTTTTAAATTTCTTTTTCTTTCCTAATTGAATGGATTAGGACTTCCAGTATGATGCTGGAGAGAAATAGTAAGAGTAGGCATCCTTGTCTTGTTCCTGATCTTAGAATAACTTTGAGATATTTCAACATTGAGTATGAGGTTAACTTTGGGCTTGTCATATATGCCTTTATTATGTTGAGGTACATTCCTTTTGTACCTAATTTGTTAAAAGTTCTTATCATAGAGGGGTTTTGAATTTTGTCAAATGCTTTTTCTATGTCTACTGAGATGATCATATGGTTTTTATCCTTCATTCTTTTAATGTGGCACATCACATTTATTGATTTGTGTATATTGAACTAGCCTAGCATTGCAAAGATAAAAATCCCACCTGCTCATGTTACACCATCCTTTTAAGGCAAATCGTGTTGAATTTGGTTTCTAGTATTTGTTGAGGTTTTTTGCATCTATGTTCATCAGGAATATTGGCCTACAATATTCTTTTCTTTTATCATCCTCATCTTACTTCAGTATGAGGGTAATGCTAGCCTTGTAAAATGAGATAGAATATGTCCTTTCCTCTTAAATCTGTTGGAAAAATCTGTGAAAGATTAGCATTAATTCTTGTTTAAATGTTTGGTAGAATTCTCTAGTGAAGCCATCTGGTCTTCCACTTTTTTTTTTTTTTTTTTGAAATTTTTGATTACTGATTCAATCTTCTTACTAGTGTTTTTAAGATTTTATTTTTGAGAGAGAGAGAGAGAGTGGGCGTGGCAGGGGGTGAGGAGCAGAGGGAGAGGGACAATCCGACTTCACAACTGAATGCAGAGCCTGATGCGGGGCTCAATTCCACGACCTGAAATCTTGACCTGAGCCGAAATCAGGAGTCCGACAGTTAACCCACTGAGCCATCCAGGTGCACCTCCTTACTAGTTTTAAGTCTATTCAGATTTTCTATTTCTTCGTGATTCAGTCTTGGCAGGTTGTATGTTTCTAGGAATATGTCCTTTCTTCAGGGTATCCAGTTGGTGTATAATTTTCATAGCAGTCTCTTATGACCCTTTGTATTTTTGTGGTATCAGTTTTAATGTTTCCTCTTTCATTTATGATTTTATTTATTTAAATCTTTTTTTCTTAGTCTAACTAAAGGCTTATCGATTTTGTTTATCTTTTCAAAAAACTAGCTCTTAGTTTCATTCATGTTTTCTATTGTTTCTTGTCTCTTTCTTTTATTTATCTTACGATCTTTGTTTCTTCTTTCCTTTTACTAATGTTGGGCTTGGTTTGTTGTTCTTCCAGTTCCTTGAAGTGTATAGTTGTTTTTTTGAAATCTTTTTTTCTTAATGTAAGCATTTATCACATAAAATCCCCTCTTAGAACTTTTGCTGCATCCCGTAAGTTTTGGTATGTTGTGTTTTTATTTTCATTTGTTTCAAGGTGTTTTTTATTTTCTTTTGATTTCTTTGACCCATCAATTGTTGGGGATTAGATTGTTTAATTTCCATGTATTTGTGAATTTTCTCTCTTTCCTACTATTATTGATTTCTAATGTCATACTGTTGTGGTCAGAAAAGATACTTGATATGATTTCAGTCTTAAATTTGTTGACTTGTTTTGTGACCTAACATAGGATCTATTGTAGAGAATGTTCTGTGTGCATTTGAGGAGAATGTGTATTCTCCTGCTGTTGGATGGAATGCTGTATATTGCATTTTTCATTTTCATTCATTGTATTCTTTACCTCTAGATGTTTCTGGTTCTTTTTTTAATAACTTCTAGCTCACTGTTAAACTTGTTTTATTCATGGATTGTTTTCCTGATTTTACTGTATTGTCTACATTCTCTGTAGTTCACCGATCTTAAAACAGTTATTTTGAATCTTTGGCAATTCACAGATCTCTATTTCCGTGGGGTCAGTCACTGGAAAATTATTGTGTTCCTTTGGTTGTGTCATACTTCCTTGATTTTTCATGTTTCTTATAGCCTTTCATTGATGTCTTCACATTTGATGGAGCAATCACCTCTTTCAGACTTTAGGGACTAGTTTTGGTGAGGAAAGACCTTCACCTGCAGGTGGGTGTAAAGAGCCAGATGGGTAGGGTGTGCTGTTTCCATTCCTGGGGAAGGCTCAGCAGTATAGTGCCTGTGCAACTTTATCAGCTGAGGTCAGCATCAATGAAGACTGCAGGGCTCCTCAATGACCAAGGCTGTGGATATCTGTAACGGTGGTGATCTGTTAGGATCTGCAGTGGTGAGGCTGCTGGGGACCACCCGATCTTTTCCCCATGGAGCATGTCATGGCCAAGGGGATTCCCCTTGGCACTGGGTTCATCTTATGGATGCCCTGGTTGTAGTGGTGACAGTGTTGTTTGATACGTGGGTGCCCATGGAGCAACTATGGGGATTGGAATTCATATGCTTGCAGAGCAGTGGCAGCTCTGGGGTCCCGCAGCTCTGGCTAGCCCACAGTAGTGGTGGACCTGGGTCCTGAGATGAGAGCATACATGGAGCGGCCACGGATTCAGGGACTGCGGCCCAGGCACTCATGGAGCAGCAATGGCTTTAGGGTGTGGGCCCCTGGCTAGCCCACAGTGGTGACAGTTTGTGGGACATGGGTATGCATCAGGTGGCCACAAAGCTGGGAGTCTGGGGTGCAGGCACTTAGAAAGTAACAGCGGGCTTGGGGTTCTGGCTAGCTTGCAGCATTAGTTTCACACCTAAGGCACTGGTGTGGGGAAGGAAATGCTGGCATACGCAGAGCAGCCGTGTCTCTCTAGCTGACCCCCACGGGGCTTGTGCCCGGGGTTGTTGGGGACGGGCAGCCCAGGTTCCAGAGTGGTGCCCCAGCAGCTCCTATTGGGCGGTAGTGCCGCAGTGTCTCCCTCCCAAGGGTTGCTGGGTGCTTTTTTACGTGAAAAACACCTTTACTTCGCCTTCACATTAAGTTGATGGTTTGGTTAATAGGTATTTCTGGGTTTTTTTCAGCATTTTTTAGGTAACTATTGTTTTCTAGCATTGAACATTATAGATGAGAACTTTTATATAAAGTTTTGCTCTCTGGAAATTTATGGAGTTTGAGATACGCATGTGCATATGTACACACGAGTGTGTGTATTTTGTATGTTTATTAATTCATGGGACATTTTAATCTGAACATTCACATCTTCCTTTACCTCAGAGAATTGTTGGTTCTCTTAATCTTTTGCTTTAGCCTCTCTTTTTTGAACATCTGTTGTTGCTCTTTATCAATTTATCTATTTCATTTGTATGTTTGCAGATTTGGTTGTGCATTCACATTTTAAATTAGCTACTAGATTTATTTGCATCAGCAGTTATTGTCAGGGCCTGTCCTCCCTTGCACACAGCAGCTCACCACAGGGTCCTGTTATGACCAGTAGATTTCAGGACAGGTAAGAAGCCCCCCGCCCCACCCCCTCCATTGGGCAAGTCAGGGCCAAGCTGCAATGGAGACAGAGTAATTTGGTGATTGTACTGCTTTCCTGACAGGCTCTCCCCTGACCAGCCTTTAAAAAAAAAAAAAATCTCTGGATCTGTGTGTGCCCTTGAACTTCCTTACCTCTTAGTGTCTTACCTGAACTGTGTTACTTTTCTCTCCAACCCCAAAATCCATAGTAGAAGAAAGCCTCTGCATATAACACGAAAGTCTTCCATCTTCTCGATGGAACGATGAACCAGGCAGCCCATACCTCCCGTACGAGTCCAACTTGCAGGCTAAGAGGAGAACTACATCGACACTATTCAGGCTGTGTTCACTGCACAGTGCCTAGAGCTCAGTAGGTTCTTTAGACATACACTTTTGTAGAACTAAAATATTTATATGCTTTACCCAGTCACTTTTCTTCTAGAAATTTATCCTGAAGAAATACTCAAGGATGCTCAGAGTTTTATGTACAAAGATGTTCATGGTACTTATAGTTGTAAAAAATAAAAGCAACTCAGAAGTCCAGCAGTACTTATATCTAAAGCAGTGTATATACTCTGCATGGCTGAATATTTCATAGAAATTATTTTTCTTTAAATCCTTCTAGAGGTACAATCTCCAGCAATCAGTAAAACCTATTTTATCTTAACCAGAGCATGGTTTTTTTATATACTTTACATAATCCTATATAAATCATGTAATCATGCCTTTCAAATTGGTATAATTTTTAGTGATATTATCTAATATTTTTTATGTTACTGAGTAGTTTAGAGAGAATCAAATTTTTTAAACTTAACAAATAAATGAAGTTTATATATATGTAATCATAATGGACATTCAGTAAATAGAGAATGTTTTTTATTTCAGAAAACAGCTCCTTGAACATGGTGAGGTAAAACTTTCATTTTAATCTCTGCTGCATTTGTGTATTAAATTCTAGTTCAAGGATAATTTACAAAGGTATTGCCTTGCTGCAGATGCGCTGTCAACAGTGGTTCAGTGGTTCAGCACTGGTAATAAATGCTGATCCTTCCCATGTGTTCATCTTTTTTGAATAGTAGTAAGGATTTCTGAAAAACAGAAGGCTCATTTATGACCACAGAGCATAATTAAATTACTTTTATTTATTCATTCAACAATAAAAGTGTTAATTCCTAACCCACTGAGCTAGTCAGCTTCAGCCCATCAGGGCAGACATCTGTGGCCTTGTGACTGGTGGCCTTTGGCCACACCCAGACTTGATGGGCAATCTGTTACAATCTTAGAGTGTTACAGGATACAGAAGATGGTATAGCAGTGTTTCTGCCCTCAGATAATTTTTCAACAGAGACAGGAAACAAATAAGAACATTTTATATGGTGCTAAATTATTTTGTGGCATATGAAGAGAAAGCCCAGCAGGGGCTGGAAATATGATTTCCTAAGTAAAAGCACTTTGAGTCTTAAGGGAAAGGCCAAATTTACAAGAGAGGGCAACTGAATTTGGACCTAATAAAAACAGCCTATAATGATAACAAATATTTTTTAGTAGTTACTATGTGCCATGTACTGTGCTGTTTTAATTCTCGTAATATTATTCCCATTTTGCAAATAAGAAAATTATGTTAATTAGAAGAAAGTAGCTGTTAACAGAGACAAACACTAATATTTCAATGACTTAACTCAGTAAAGTTTGATTCTTTGCTCACATAAAGTTGAAACCAGGAGTTCCTGGTTAGTGGGTGGCCCTCCCAACAAGCAGTGATTGAGGAACCCAGACTCCTTCCATTTATAGCTCGGCCATCTGCAGTGTGAGGCTTCTGAGGTCGATGTGCTTGTCTGCATCACGTCAGCAAAGGAGAAAGAACAGGGAAGACGCTGCCCTGGAGGATTGATGTGCTTGTCTACATCAAGGCAGCAAGGGAGGAAGAACAGGGAAGATAATGCACTAGAGCTTTTTAAGGGCTAGGCCTGGAAACGGAAATGTAAGCTTCCTGCCCTCAGCCAGACCTCAGGCACACGGCCATACCTGACTGCAGGGAGCTGGGAAATGGAGTCTAGCTACATGTCTAAGACGAAAAGCAAAGAGGTCTTGGCCACGGAATAGAGACCTACGGAAATTAAATAACTTTCCTCAGTCTGCCACTAATTTGTAGTAAAGCTTGCATTTGAACACTAACAGCTCACTTCCAGTGCCTTCAAAGTAGTAGTCAGAACTTACAGCTTCCTATGTGCAGGGCTTTTGGGGAAGTGATTTACATATAGTTATAATTTCATTCGCACAACAACCCGTTGAGGTAAGAACTGTTATTCTGTATATTTTACAGGTGAAAGAAAACTATGGCATGGAGAAGTTGAGTAACTTAGGGTCACAAAGCTGAAGGGACCTTAGCTCTGTGGAACCAATGAACCTAGGCCGTGTGGCAGCAGAGTCCCTGCTGTTAATCATTCTCCACATGCTACCACCTAATGTGAACTGCACTTATGCAAATCAGTCCTGTCACATTGCCCAGTTTTACTTAACAGTGCACATTCATCCTTTATATTTTATCATATGGTATTTAAAACCCACTCCTTTTTATTTTTTTAAACCCACTGCTTTTTTTTTTCTCATTTAACTTTATTTATTTATTTAAAAAATTTTTTTATTATGTTAGTCACCATACAGTACATCATTAGTTTTTCATGTAGTGTTCCATGATTCATTGTTTGCGTGTAACACCCAGTGCTCCCACTGCTTTTTAGAAACACAGTATTCCTTAATTTTCTGCTGCCTTTTCTCACATTAATTTTGCTTTCTTATTGTCTTTCATTTCTCCGTTTATCCTTATTTTGCCCATCTTAATTTTTTTATGTTAATTCTGCATACTAATCAGTTCAGTCTTTGTTATGTGCTCATTATACACCAGGTCCCTGCTTTTGTGGAATTTAATGTGTAGTGGAGGAAGACAATGTGAACAGATAATTATATGTGCCTTGACAAAGGAAATAGGTAGAAAAGTAGTACAGAAAAAGTGATTAAATTTGTGTGAAGGAGATGGGGTAGTTAGGGACAGATTTTTTTTTTTAATGACCTTAAAGGAGGAATTTACCAAGGTCAAAGCACGTGCATGTACAAAGAAGGCATAAGGTAGTACGTTACGTTCAGAGCTACAGAGAAATCAGGATTGCTGATGCATAGAAAATGCAAGAAGTAGCAGAAAATGACACAGGTTCAGACTACGATGACTTTGTATGCAAAGAAGCTGAACACTATCCTGGACTTTGTTGTTAAGCAAGAGATTAGGTATCATCAGATCTGAGTTGTAGATATATATTTGTCCTGTTGGCTGTAAAGAAGATAGCTTTTTAAAAGGTAATCAGAATTTGGGGGAAGAGTTACTTCTTTTAAAAAATGGATTGAGTGATATATGTTGGGGGGTCTGTACACTTCTATGTTCTCAGACTAATAGAACCATGTGGTTGAATACTTTATTGTCTGGAGAGGAAGCATAGTGTAGTGGTTAAAGAAGCAGACTTGGGAGTTGGCTGGCCCCAGATCCCTGTTCTTCCACTTACTGGCCGTGTGATCATAGCCAAGTTACATTACATCTTTTTGGGAACAACCAAAACAACAGTAATAACAATAGTTATCTCATATGGTGGCTGTGGGATTAAATGGGTTATATGTAAGAGAGTTACAGTAATGCCTAATGTTAAGTTAATCGCTGTGTACATGCCCACTTTTAAACTCGCGTACCTTCTGGACCAAGACCTCTGGGGCTCCAGTTAATACTCTGCCTTCTGTTAACTGTGCCAGTGAAGGGTATCTCTGCCATGTTTTCAAGACACCTCCACAACTGTGGTGGAAGGTAGTTTTGACAGGGACAGTCTGCCATTTGGACTGGCCTTCTCATTTAGTCTTTGTTTTCTTTATGCTTGGGAGCTGCTACCTCACACTTTACCCAGTTGGGCTCACTTATATCAAGGATGGATAGTGAATAGTTTCCTGAGCTTCTCTTCTTTCCTTGCTTCCAGCCTCTAAAAGATATTGTGAGGATTTTCTTAGTAATTTTTATGTGGAGAGAGGTACTAACAAATTGATGGTAGGGTAGTAAAGGATTTTGGACTGTGCTTTTTGACTGTAGCCCTCTGTCTTCTACTTAGTAGTTAAAAAGAAAACTATTTGATAGAATAGGAGATAAAATAACTATGGCAAGAGAGGTCCATGGAAAGTCAGTAGCCTGTGAGTAGAGTGGTTAGAGCATGTGGATAACAATAGGAAACAAACGTAAGTGGTGCCATTTGGAATGGTCGTTCTGTGTCATTCCTGCACACATACACACACACACAAAATGCAGGGAAGATAAGGAAATGGTGGGGATCTTTCAGATCTCCATATGAAAACAGAGTCTTTTCAGCCTTTAGATAATAGAGGAAAGTCAAGAAGAATTACTCCTTTGGATTTAATTCTCGTCATATGAGCAGTTGGTGCTAAAGTAGAAGTGATGGAAAAAGAGTACAAGTGATTGGATTTCGGAGAGATGATGATAGTCTCATCCTGTGGCTCAGGATAACCAAAGGAAGGCATGTTGGGAGAAGTCAGATGTACACTTTCATAAATTAGAACCACATCTATGGTAGTCTGTTTCTAGATGCCACATTTTAACAAAACATGGGCAATCTGTACCATGTCCAGAGCAAGGCATCCAGAATTATGACACCACAGAACTAATGATCCAAGTTTTTGAATATTTAGCTTAAAAATAGAAAGCTTTCTAAGGGTGAAGGTGGGATTAGTGCAAAGTCATGAGTACAGCATTTGGATAATAGAGAACTGTCATGTGCAAATGGGTTAGACTAATTTTGTGCAGTTGCAGAGGTGTGGAAATTATGGGGAGACATTGGTTCAGTCTTAGGGAAGATTTTCTAACATTTACAGCTATCCATAATTATAATAGGCACTTCTATGGCATATTCTTTTTCAGGAATTAGTGAATAACCAGTTCATAGATTTACAGAAGAGATCCCTGCTTTGGATCGATGATTAAAGAAGATGGCCCATGTAATCTACCAGTCTGTGATTTAATGGTCCTAACCAAAAAGACCTATTTAGGTGTGAAGTGTGTTGATGTTTTTCTGTTCCCTCTACAACATGTCCCCGACTTTGTCCAAGGAGGAGTTTGACTAAAGAAAAATGAAGGATTGATTTTGAAATAAATCTTCCACATCCTAACTTTGGATTCAAGAATTATGAAAAAATTAAATTCCATTTTTAAACATATTTACTTAAAAAGGAAAAACACAGCTTTGCATTCTGTTTTAAACCTAAATCAGATATTTCTAATTCTAAAATAACATGTGTTTAAAAAGTGTTAGAAAATTAAGGAAAATCACCATTCAGGAAATAACCTCTATTAACTTTTTAGGTACATATTTTTGTAGCCTTCTCCACCCCACACATGCATGTATATATACACATAGATGGTTTTCACAAAATTGATAATTTTATATGTACATAATTATACACATTGAAAACTTTCCATGCCATTAAATAATCTACTAACATGTAATCTTTTAATGGCTGTATGCATGTGGGAAATGTGGTAATTTACTTATTCCTCTATATTGGTCACATAGGTTGTTACTATTTTTGCTGCTAAAAATTCACTTCAGTGATCATCTTTGTACAGGCATTTTTTTGGTCTTGATTATTAAATTAGAATGGAAATTTAAGTCAAAAGAGTTGGCTCTTATGTAGCATCTTGATAAATAATGCTAAATTACAGAAATGTACCAATTATTTTAGTGTATGTTTCAAGGCATCTTCTCTAACATTCAGTATTAATATTTGTCCATTTTATAGATGAAAATATCTTATTATCTTTAATGTTTGAGTATTAGCAAGTTAGAACATATTTAGTTAATATGTATTAAATTTTGGTTGCATTAATTCTTTGTCTATTTTTCTTGTGAAGAATTGGTTGATATTTTATGAATATGTCTGTTAGAAAAGTTTTGTCTGAAACCTTTGCTCAGTGGAACCCCATCTTAATAAAATGGGTGTCCTAGTCATCAGTACAAATATTTATATATATAATTCCATTACTTTAAAAATAATCTAGATTACGTTTTTCTACAATTTTTATTGCTGACTGAATGATACGCAAATTTGTGAAGCATTCCATATTTGTATGTCTCTGTGGCTCACTTCCTCACCTTGTGAGGGTCCTGTTCAAATGCCACCTCTTCAATGAGGCTCTCCCTGATTGTCCTACTTGCAATTGCAACTGCTCCCACCTGGAACCTCATACCACACCCTGCACTCCCAGTCCCCTTTCCCTGTTCCACTTTCTTCACTGCCTTTACCACTTTCTAAGAGACTATATAATGGATTCATTTACTTGCCATGACTATTTTTGTCTTTCCTTACTAAATGTTCTAAAATGTAAGCTTCACAAGGGCAGAAATCGCTAACTGTTGTTTTGTTCACTCTTGTATCCAAAGCCCCCAGAACAGTATGTGGCATATAATACACATTTGCTAAATCTTTGTTGAATGAATGAGTAAATATTACCAGACTTATTACTAAATTAAAAGATCCTTGTCCTAATGAATGATAATAGTTTTAATATATATTATTAATTTGAAAATATAATTTTGTTTTGTTTTTACAGCTGATTTTTCACACATTGCAACTGTTAGCATTCACTGTCCTTGCCGTTTTAATCATGAGGCTGAAGTTGTTTTTAACACCTCACATGTGTGTTATGGCTTCCTTGATATGCTCTCGACGGGTAATGTATTCATTTTTGTGTCACTACACTATAGTAACTATAGCAATGCACTGTAGTTACCATGGCTTTGCTGAGTAATCCAAAATATAAAAACACTTGGTTTAAATGATTTAAAAGGTTATTTCATGATCAATTATGAATAATAAAAGCAATTTCCAGTAGCTTTGAAAATTATTCCTAGATTTTAACTGATACTCTTATGATAAGTGAGAAGGTACACTTTCCCCTATGTTAGTATTCTATCCACAGACATAGGCCTTTGGAGTTCAGGTCTGGGCAAGAATTTCTTGGCCCACCACAACGATCCTCAAGTGTTCTTCTAATGCTAGAGTAGATGCAGGGTAATTGCTCTAGTATTGTCCTGTTTGGCTCAGAGAACCCCTAGGAAAAGTTGTCAGTTCTAGGATTCTCTTACCGTTGATATACAAAGGAGCTAGACAAAGAAGCTAGAATCTGGGGACCAGTGTACTTCTAGAAACATCTTACTTAGTTTTGATGAAAAGAGTCTTGTGTTAGAATATCATAATGTTCATTTTCCTGATAGGAATATATGTGTTACTGCTAGTGGGGTTTCCATAGTTATTTTAGATGTCCATTAAGGCCAGATATTACAGGATTTAGCTCTAGGATATTTCACATTTTTGTGATTTGCTAATCTTAATCCTTGGTATTAAATCAGTACTAGAAGGATGAGGTGTGCTTCTTCCTTTAGTCTTTTGAGGATAAAGAAAGTTCCATTTTTACTAGGCCCTATAATTCCAAAATATGTACTATTTTTAAACAATAGGTGACCACAGTTATATTATATTATTAGTGCATTGATAGTATCAAATGATGATCCACCTTGGTTTAAGTAGCAAGGTAAGAGTTTATTATTGGCCCTATAGCACTCTTCATATAAGAATTAAAAATAAATGGTTTCTTTCATTTCAGCTCTTTGGATGGCTTTTTTGCAGAGTTCACTTTGAGAATGTTATCTTTGGCATTCTAACAGTGATGTCAATACAAGGTTGTGCAAACCTCCATAATCAATGGAGCATAATAGGAGACTTTAATAATTTGCCTCAGGAAGAACTGATACAATGGATCAAATATAATACCAGACCAGGTATGTAGCTCTTTAGTTCTGTGTATAGCTAGGTATTTATAGAAATGTAGAAACAGACACACGCAGTTATTTATTCACTCACAGATTTTGAGCATGCTAATTGCAGTGTCCACCGAGTCAAACCTTTTCAAAAAACAATTTTGTGCCCTCTTTAGATGCCTCCTAGATAATGGTCAAGAATTTTAATTAACATGAGGAATTAATGATTGTTCATAGTTATGTACTGTAATGCTGAGATCATTATCATATTTTAACCCTAACAATGACAAATCTTCAATAACAGAATTTCACACCTGTGAACAGACCATTGGAGAAGATACTTTTGACCATGGGGAGGTCAGCAATGCCCTTTCTATAACTTCAGTCAGTGCTCTCTCATCCAACTCTGTAAAACCATTTGCACACAGACAAGTTAAAACCTCAGATATTCTATTTTCTTCACTAAATCATTTCAAAGAGAGGAGTATAAATTCTACTTGTAAATACTCCAAAATATCATTTTAGCTTACCTTTTTTTTCTTCCTGTCTTTATCCAAAACCACTTTAAGCCGATACTTATTTCATTTTTAAAAAATCTTTCCAGAGAAGATGTATATTCTACAGTATTTTCTATAAGTAATCCATAATCTTGTCCAAGACTATTTTTGAAATTTAGTAATTTTCTGTGGCACAAGTTCTTCACTGTGGCTTATTTAAATTTATCCTGTGACTCCTTGGGGGTGATTTCCTCATTTGCTTATTTGATAGTTACCATTTTATTAATTAGCCATTGTTAAGGTAAACTTTTATAAGCCTCAACTCAGATATCAGGTTTTCAGAAGTGACAGTTCCTCATCACTTACAGCTGCCAGACCAGTTTAATCAGAATTTTAAAATTAATCCTCTGGTGAATTTTTCCCTATAGGAGTATAAGGCGTAGGTGCTCCCTTTACTCTCCCTTACCCCTTACCAGTTATTTTCCCCAAACTTTATGACGTACCTACTTTTAGAATCTTTTCTTGCTTCTGTCTTTGTTCCAGTGTGTTTGTCTTGGGTTCCTGGCAGAGAGGGCCTACATTTGGCAACTTATCCTAAGACAACTCCCACAAACTCCTCCTACTTCAGTTTTAGCCACCTCTTCTTTGATTTTCTTATAAATCTTTTTCATCCTTCTATTATGACTTCCCTCGTGGTTACCACATGTTTATTAAAAGCAGCATGATGGGGTCTGGTGGTTCAGTTGGTTAAGTGTCTGTCTTCCGCTCAGGTCATGATCCCAGGGTCCTGGGACTGAGTCCCACGTTGGGCTCCCAGCTCTACAGGGAGTCTGCTTCTCCCTCTGCTCCTGCCCCTACTTGTGTGTGCTCTCTCTCTCTCTCAAAAATAAAATAAAATAAATTTAATTAAAAAAAATAAAAGCAGCATGATGTTCTGTAGTATGGGTGAGACTAATGCTTGTGTTCAGGTCCCCCATGTAGGGTTGTATAGTTTGTGTACTGCATAAGGGTGCTCAGTTGAGAGGACAAGGGGAAACTGAAATCCAGCCCATGGTCTACTTACCAAGTCATGTATTAGTGAGGCTCTGTCAAGTCAGAAGGATGTACATTTTCTAATACATTTGGTAGAGTGTATGTGGAGACTTCAGTAAACATATAGGAAAGTATCCTGTTCTTTCCCCATCTTGTTCATATTTATCTCACCATCAGGAGTGAAGACTGTGCAGAGTATTTCTCCCTCTCTCTCTGCCATAGATGGTTTCTCTTCAGTGAGTCCTGCTTTTGCTGGACAGACCCACATACTTTCTTCCTGATAACTGTGTCCCTGGGCTTTGGGTCCCTCTAACCCACATTTTCTCAGCCTTGGCACTATTGACATTTAGGGACTGGCCTGTGCATTGAAGAATATTTAGCAGCATCCCTTCCCTCAACCCACAAGTTGCCAACAGCTCCTCTCTCCCCCACAGTGTGCCAATCAAAAATGTTTCCAGAAATTGACCATATATATCCCTAGGAAATAAAATCACGTCTGGTTGAGAACCACTGCACTAGCCTAAGAGTTTTCCATCATTAATTACTGAACCTTGTGATAGTAAATACATATTTCTACACTGATTGACTTACATATCTTCAAATTTCAGTCATATGTAAAGATTTTCATTTGAAGTTACATTTAGAATACTTAATTTGCAAGTAAACATTCAGTTATTTATGGTAGATCTGAATGACATGCCTTGTTCTTATTCGTAATTTTACTATGCTGACTAAAAATGATAATGACCTGGGCGTCTGGGTGGCTCAGATGTTTGGGCATCTGCCTTCGGCTCTGGTCATGATCCCAGGCTTCTGGGATTGAGTCCCACATCGGTCTCCCTGCTCCTTGGGAGGCTGCTTCTCTCTCTCTCTTTCTGTCTCTCATGAATAAATAAATAAAATCTTTAAAAAAATGATAATGACCTTCAAAACTATATAATAATTTATTATAGAGAAGTGCCAGAAGGTAAGTAAACATTTTTGTCTTCCAAGATACTACAGTTCACAGTTTCACCATAGAAGATGTAGCATTAGACTTGCCCTTTGTAACAGTCTCTCAGTTCTTGGCATTTTAAATTATTAGAACAAGATATGAAGTTTTATAATTCTTTCTGGTCATATGTGTTTTTGTAGTATTGTCTTTTACATTGAGCTTGAACATGGCAGGAAGTTGTACTGAAGTGGCTGAGGGTGGGTTCTGGTGCCGCCTAGGTGTGTAGTCTTGGATGAGTCACTTACTTTGTTGGCTCTCAGTTTCCTTATTTACAAAGTAAGAGTAACATAGAACCCACTTCATAAAGCTGTGCAAATTAAATTGTTTAATCCTAGTATACTTATTTAACACAGTTCCTGGCACAGAGATAAGAGAAGCCAGCTGTTATAGTAGACAATATTGAACAAAGAAAAAGAATAATGCCAATGGTGGTTATTTAAATGTATTTCATCTTTCTTAATTTGAGTTCAAATATTATAGATAAGTAATGATCTTTGGTTTTCTTTAAAATATGTCACTAAGGAATATATCCTTGTTTTCCAGATGCTGTTTTTGCAGGTGCCATGCCTACGATGGCCAGTGTCAAGCTGTCTACTCTTCACCCCATTGTGAATCACCCACATTACGAGGATGCAGACTTGAGGTTGGCAACTGATCGAATGTTTCAACCAGACATGCTTACAACTTATATTGACTCTTAAGAATAGCGAAAAATTTACATATGCACATACACACTCTCATCTTCATATTCATGCTGGAAGTTTAAAAATATATAATAACCTTCCAGAAATCGTAATTTGTACCTTTCGACTCTAAAGGAAGCTTAATAAATCTCTGAAAAATGAAAAAAAAAAGCTAGTTTTTCTCAAAGTGCAAATGTCACGTATTCATGACGAAGCTGTGTATGTCTGTTTGTTCCAGTAGAACTGCTGAGTACTAGTACTAGGAGATGGGATGGATCTGGCCCAGGGTCATAGTTTGCCGGCCCCTGCTCTGAACCCCACAAGCCCCTGCCCTGATTTAAGAAACCATTCTCTATCTTACTTGTGGCCTATAACTAACATTTTCTAACAGAAAAAGTACATGACATTAGCTATGTTACATGCTTTTATGAAAATTTAGGGTGTGTTTTGCTAGCTAGTTATGAGAACTCTGGTTTTCATTGAGGTATGAAAGTTTTGTTTTCTTTAAATACCTTTAAAAATTATTTTAATCATTTTAGTCATTGTCAGGGTAATCTTTTCCTGTTAATGCATCTTTGGCCTATTATTAGAGGTAAAATTTTAAATCATTTAAAGTTTTATATCTGGTTTTGGACATTAAACATCTTAGATGTTTGAAATTTTAAGAAATGGCCAATGCTGGGTGGGGGATGGGGGCACTGGGTGACGGACGTTAAGGAGGGCACGTGATGTACTGAGCACTGGGTGTTATATGAAACGAATGATACACTATATGTTAACTAATTGAACTCAAATAAAATAAGTTAAAAGAAATATCCAATGCATAAACGGTAATTATTCAGGATTTCATAAAAACTCCTATTTAGGACCAGCTTGTCAGCTGTACCATATTTTGGTGACTAATCCTGTTTGTCAAGCTTCCTGACTGCTACACTAGATGCCCTCTGTCTGAATGTATGATTTGCTACATTTCAACTTCAATTCATATGCTTTTCGGGTAATTTCAATAGGTGAAATTATCTACCAAAATCTGTTTTCACTCTGTTCACCTTTATCTGAATGTGTTCTTTGAGCAGATTAATTTTATGCATATGCAAAGCAAATTTATATCCTGAGCTATTATCCTGCTACCCAGGTCTAGAGTCTAAACCAGTTTATGTCTGTCTGTTCTGGTAAACACTAACAAGCAGTACATATAAAATTCAAACCACTGTAAGTTTTAGCACACGCGAAGTATAAGTAGGAAGGTGGAAACTTCTCTCCAAAAATAATCCATGCTATCCCCAAAACAATTCATGCTGCTTGAGGTCATATATATGAATGCTCCATCCAGTGAGTGTTGAGATTTTAATTTACTAGCAAAATTTCTTTAGTCCATTCTATTATGACTTATTAAAAAAATTTTTAACTTGTGTTTTGAATGTAAAGGGCCCGGACAAAAATAGTTTATTCCACATATAGTCGAAAATCTGCAAAAGAAGTGAGAGATAAATTGTTGAAGTTACATGTGAATTATTACATTTTAGAAGAGGCATGGTGTGTTGTGAGAACTAAGTGAGTATGAGCCCTATGCTATATGATATGGAATATCTTTAAGCAACAACTGTTTTACTTTATTACAATAGTTGTGATTCTTTAAGAATTTTTATTCTAAATAAATTCCATTAAAATATTATCCTAGTATTTTATTTAAAATTATTTCATGTAGGAAAGTAAATATCATTTAAGTAGAATCTAATTTCAAGAAACTATAGTGTATTTTAGCTCCCAGATTTTTTCATTTTAATTTAACATCTTAAATAATGTTGCTTTCCTTCATACTTTTTCAAATTCTTATGATAATTTGTATTAGATGTATGAAATACAGATTTGAATTTACAGCAGTGTGAAACAGCATTTTTTTACTACAACTGGATAACATTGAAGTTACAAGATTTATGAGAAAAGTTTCAGGTAACTCAAGAAGTCATAGTAATTTAAACATTCCTAAGTATAATTTTTAATTTCTGAAAAATCACAAAATTCTAAAATGGTTAATGGAGATCTTGAGGCCTTTTTTTTAGACTCCTTGACTTAAGACGTTCTTAGTTGTATTAAGTCTAACATTAAGAATTTTCATTTCTCATATGGATAGTTAGGAATTAGATCATAAAACATTTTGGAAAAGTAATGTTCCATAAGTTCTAGTGGCTAATTTTAATATGTAATTTTAATACCTAATATATCTAGGAAGAAATGGCATCTTGTAAAAGAAGAAACAGGAATATCATAATGTTGATGTGTGTGTACATTACATTATTTTAAAATTTATTAAGACAAAGTAGACTTCAAATCAAGGCGTATTACCACAAATAAAGATGGACATTTTATAATGACAAAAGGATTAATTCATCAAAAATATATAACAGTTCTAAAATGTGCATATCTAAACAGAGCTTCAAAGTGCACAAAGTAAAAATGTGCAGAATATAAAGAAAAAATAAGCAAATTTTCAATGATAGTTGGGAATGTTAACTTTCCTTTTATTACTGAGAAAATTAGATAAAAAGAGTGTAAGGATTAAAAGATAGAAACATCAAACAGTATCAAATAACCTGACCTAATTACTCTTATAGAACAGTACAGAAAAATACATTCTGCAGAATATACATTTTTTTAAAGGGTACATGGAATTTTCACCAAGGGAAAACATATGCTGGGCCATAAAAATAGCTTCAGTATGCTTAAAAGATTTGAAGTCATACAGAATTAAAAATTAATAATTAGAAATCTAAATATCTGGTAAATCCATACATACTTGGAAATTAGGCAATAAACTTATGGATAACTTATGGGTCAAAGAAAAAAACCATAAAGGAAATTAAAAAATAATATATATTTTTTTACCTGAGTGCAAAAAGAGGTGTTTTCAACAATGTTGCTGATCTAACTGGATATCTGTACAGAATAAAAAGTGAACCATGACTCATACTACACCATACACAAAAATTAACTCGACATGGATTACAGAACTAAATGTAAAAGCTAAAATTAAAAGATTTCTTGGAACACAGAACACTAACCATTAAAAAAATCAATAAATCATACACATCAAAATTGAAATCTTTTCCTCAAAAGATGTTAAGAAAATGAAAAGGGAATCTACAGACTGGAAGAAAATGTTTGTAAAGTGCGTGTCTGATAAAGGAGAGATACATATTTTACATGAAGAAATTTTACAAATTAATAATAAATTGACAATACAATTGAAAATGGACAAAAACCTGGGAAGATATACTTCATGAAAGAAAATATGTGATGACTAGTAAATACATGAAAAGATGCTTAATATTGTCAGTGTCCAGGGATATGCAAATTAAAACCACAATGGGATACTATAACATATACTCTAGAACAGATGAAATCTTAAAAACTGAAATGCCAGATATTGGCAAGGATGCAGATTAACTAGAAATCTCTTACATTGGTAATGGGAGTAAAAATGATACAACCACTTTGGAGCAGTATTTGGAGGCTTCTTATAAAAATTTAAGCATATATTTGCCCTATTACTCAGCAATTGTACTCCTTGTGGAATTTAAACGAGATATAAAAATATCTGTCCATAGAGGATGTTCGTAATATCTCAAACTGGAAACAACCCAATGATCAAGAGAAAACTGAATAAACAAAGTATAGTATATTCATACAATGGAATGCTGCTAGGCAATAAAAAGGAACAAAATACTGATGTGTGAAGAAAGGATGAATCACAAAAATATGCTGGATGAAAGAAGCCAAACACAGAAGAGTACATACTATGTGATTCCATTCTATGAAGTTCAAAATATGCAAAACTAATGGGAACAAAAATCAGAATAGTGGTTGGCTGTGGTGGAACCAGGGGGTAGAGGTGGTGGTGGAAAGACCCTCTGGAAAGGGATTGAAGAACTTTTTTTTCTTAATGACAGTGTTAACTATCTTGATTGGCATGTTTTTTATATGAGTGTATGCATTTGTGAAAACTCATGGAACTGTACACTAAGATCTGTGTGTTTTTACTTCTGTAACTGTACTCTAATAAAAAGTTACTCTAAACATACAAATAAATATTTATGCAAAGAAGAATTCTTTTAAAATTCTGGGACTTAGAAAATCATTCTACAGCTATCACTAATAGCCTTCTGAGACACCAGGAATAAGTTCTAAAGAAGGAATGGCAAATTGTCTCTCAAGGCAATTCTTTTTACAATATTGGCTTCTTCTACTTTTCTCCACAACTCTGTTCTATTAAGTATTACATACTCCTTACCTAACGGCCTAAGGCTATGTTAAAGAAAATAATGAAAAGTGCTAATTGGATTTTATAGTTTGGACAAACTGAATTTAGGAGTTATTGGTCTGTTGAAGGCCCAAAGAAATTGAACATAGGACCCATAAGAAACAGTTTTGGAGGGAGTTCAGTTAATATTGGCAAGAAGAGTTTGACTTATTGCTCCCAGAGATTACAGTTATAAGAACTGGGTGAAAACACAGGCACTCTTCACTTTGTGTGGTACTATATTAGCTGAAACTTGAGCATGTCAAAATTATGTTTTGCTTTGCATGGTTCCATGGAGCTCAGTGTCATGTTAATTGAGACTTATGTGAATTGGAACTGGAATTAAGAATTACCGTGGCACTACTTAAAGCAAGGACATAGTTCCAAATGCATATACTTCAATTAACAGGATGCATCCAGAGTTAGGTTTAATGGTATTAAAAACAACCACTTGAAGTCTCTGGGAAATGACACAAAAGCAGGGAGAAACTTAGACACATTTGCTCTTGAAGGACTTCTCTGAATTTGTGAACTTGCCTGAGAGCACTTCCTAAACCATCTCCTCCCTTCTTCTATTATAGCAGAAAATCACAGCCCACTGGCTTGAGGGGACAGATGGTGACAGATGAGCTGTGAGTAGCAAAGCAGCTGGATATTTGAAGGGGACATTTTAGAAGCAAGAGCACTACAGAAAGACCAAAATCTAAAATCTGAATATAAATTCTGCCTAAAACCTATTCTGCACATGCCTGTGGGAAACCTCTGGGAACTTGGGAAAAGGGCAGGTGGAAACTAGGGCAAGATATCTATCCTTTTTATTTATTTTATTTATTTTTATTTTTTTAAAAGATTTTATTTCTGTATTTTAGAGCATGAGCAGGGGTAGGAACAGAAGGGGAGGGAGAGGGAGAGAATCTCAAACAGACTCTGCACTGAGCACAGAGCCCAACATAGGGTTCGATCTCACCACCCTGAGATCATGACCTGGGCTGAAACCAAGAGTCAGGTGCTTAACCAACTGAGCCATGCAGGTGCCCCAAGATGTCTATCCTTGAAAGAGAACTTCTGGTGAGATTTGCAAATTCCCTGTGCTTTTCACCATGTACATTTCCCAACTTGCACACACCCTAGGAAGCAGAAAGCAGAGTCATTACTGGTTCAAGGTGTCAGGGCAGAAATAAAGGATAACAAAGCAACTACACATTCTGAGGAAAACCCCCAAAGCAAGGGAAATATGGAGAAGATAGATTTCCAAATATAACTCTGCCCAAATCCTTGGCTGATAAAAACACAATGAAAATCCCAGGGCTAAAAGAAAGAAGTAGCTGGAATCTGAAAAAACTGAGCAGAGATAGCTGCTGCACAAGACAGGAGATCTAGACAAGTTAATTATCTACCAGAACAGAAACAAGAAAGTAACAGTTATCAGAAGAACAAAACAGATTCCAGACTCACTGCCAGGTATTTTCTCCAGTATTTAGTTTCCAACTCAAAATCACCAGACCTGCAAAAAAATGGGACAGTCTGACCAATACTCAAGAAAAAAGTTAGTAGAAACTGATTCAAATAGGTTGAGATGTAGGATTGAGCAGGGAAAGACTGCAGAGCTGCTGTTATGATTATATTCAAGGAATTAAGGAAAATATGTTCAGAGAACTAAAGGAAGACATGATATCAATAAAGGACAAGATATGATTCTCAACAGTGAAATCAGTGCATCCTCCCTGGAAAAAACGGGAATTCTAGAACTGAAAAGTATAATAAATGAAGGAAAATTCTTTAAAATTCTCAAGAGATTTGAAATGACAACAGAAAAAAATCAATGACTTGAAGGTAAATCAAGAAAAAGCAGTCAATCCAAAGAACAGGGATCAAAAAGATTGAAGAAGAATAGCAAAAGCCACAGAGACCTGTGTGTTATTAAGTAGTTCAACACATGGGTAATATAGTACCAGAAAGAATGAAAGAAAAGAAAAATGGCAGAAAAAAAATACCTGAAGAAATGTTGGCTAAAAATTTCTTGTTCACTGAAAGCCATTAACTTAGAGATCCAATTAAGGTTAACAAACGCAGCTAGGTTAACCCAAGGAAATCCACGCCATGGTACATCATAGTCAAACTGGTGAAAAACAAGGAGAAGAGAGAAAATCTTGAAAAAAGCAAGAGAAGAATGATAAACATCTGACTTCTTTTCATAAAGAAGTCAACTGACATTGGAATGATAATTCAAAATTCAGATATACATGATAGGCTAAAATGCACTGGAAATGGTAAAAATGTGGATAAATATTAATCACTATATGTACATATATATTTATTCTCTGAAAATCTTTTAAAACCCTGTGACTAGTTAAAGCAAAGATGATACATTATATTTTTGAGTTTATAAGTCATATATATGAGACAGCAATAGCACAAGCAAGGGAATAAATGAAAATAAAAGGTATGTCTAGAAATAATCTGAGTTTAATGTTAAGTAAATTGTGATATATTGAAAATGTCTGTTTTAATATCTAGAGCAACACAAAAAAAGGCAAAAAAAATGCATAAGCCAATAAATGAAATAGATGATATAGTAAAACTTTTTGCTTGACATAAAAGAAGTCAAGAAAGAGAAACAGACAATCAAAAAAGAGAGGAAACAAACAGAAAAAAGGGGAAAAAGCCTAAATCAAACAATATCAGTAATCAAAAATGTGAATAGGGACAAAACACTCCAATCAAAAGGCAAAGATTGGTAGACTGAATACAAAAGCAAAATCCAACTATGTGTCGGCTATAAGACATGCATTTTAAATACAAATACATGTATAGATTGAAGGAAAAGGAATGATATTGTTATCATGTAACATATGAAAGCTGCAGTGAGTATAAACATCTGGAATATTCTAGATAAGGCAAAACTATATTGCGGAAAGATCAGTGTTTGCCTGGGCTAAGTTGGAGCGAGGGGACCAACTGCAGAAGGGCTCAAGGGGACTTGTTTCAGTGCTGGGAATTTTCTGTATTACGGTTATGGTGGTACTCACACTCACACTCACATAGACATTTCCCTGTATTTATCAAACTTTACTCATAAATGGGTGCATTTTATTGTACATAAATGATTCCTCAATATAGCTGTTAAAAATAATAGCCAATTTTGCCTGACTTCTTCCCTTTACTGCCTCTAATGCAAGGATATTTCCTAGTGAGAACTAGTATGCCAGTCAGTCCAATCATAGGGCCACCCAAAATAGGAAAGGGTGGAGGAGAACAAATCTGTCAAACAAGAGCTTTCCTTCCTTGCCTTGGACTATATGTTTTCATGCTAATTTAAGTTAGGTGAAACCCCAAAATATGAAATTCATCAGGAATTAGAGTAGCTTTCCTTCAATTTGTCTCCTACTACTCATGGGCCTTATGTTTGGATGGTGTTACCACCTAGAAAATGTATTTGTGTATATTTCATTTTGAAAATAAATTTTTAAATATGTATTTCTGAATGTATATTGGACCTTTACTGTTAAGTTTAATACTATATTGGTTATTTGGTTAAGTGGAACATGAAAATGCAACATATACTTAATTTCATTTTTATCCGTAAGTGTTGAACTTACATTTTTTGAAATGATACTTTAAAATCTTTATTAAGGGGCGCCTGGGTGGCTCAGTTGTTAAGCTCTGCCTTCGGCTCAGGTCATGATCCCAGGGTCCTGGGATTGAGCCCCGCATCAGGCTCCCCGCTCCACAGGAAGCCTGCTTCTCCCTTTCCCACTCCCCCTGCTTGTGTTCCCTCTCTCTCTCTGTCTGTCTCTGTCAAATAAATAAATAAAATCTTTAAAAAAAATAAAATAAAATCTTTATTAAATAAATTCGTCTCAGGACGCCTGGGTGGCCCAGTCAGTTAAGCATCTGCCTTCAGCTCAGGTCATGATCTCTGGGTCCTGGGATGGAGCCCCGCATCGCATCGGGCTCCCTGCTCAGCGGGGAGCCTGCTTCTCCCTCTCCTCCCCACTCATGCCTCTCTCTTGCTATCTCTGACTCTCTCTCTCTCTCTCAAATAAATAAAATCTTTAAAAAAAATAGTCTCTAAAAATCTTAGAGCTACTTTATCATTTATATATTCTCCCCGTATATGAATGCATTTTTAATATGGATATATATGTGCCTGTTTTTTTTTAGGCCTGGTTGCAGTATGCTGGAAATTTGGGATGTGGAAGACCCTTCCAATACAGCTAATCCTCCCTTATGTAGCATCTTGCTCAAGGACGGGAGGCCTTACTTCACCACAGTATTTCAAAATAGTATGTACAGAGTACTAAAGGTTAACTGAAAACAAGATAACCCATCACACTGTGTGTAGAAAGCAATCACTTTGCCTTATTTACATTAATAAAAATCACAAGCTTTAATAAGGGACCCTTGAAAAGAAGGTAATAAAAATGGTTTCAAGTTATTCTGATTATTAAAAGGTAAATTATTTCATTGTTTTCCATTGAATGTCAGCCTTATTAAGCTTCTTCTTTAAATGATTAAATCATTTCATACTGCATAAACCAAATGTCGTCCATCTTAAAAGTTCTAAAGAAAAAATATATGTAAAAGAACAATGAAACTCAATAAATGAAAGGTATTATTTAAGTCCTTTTGTATTCAACTAGGTGCTTCAGATTTTCTCTAGTACCAGTATGTACCAGCTCAAACTCTTTAAACCACTTAGAATAGACTAATGCAGTTTCTGAAAAGATACTTCCTTAAAATCCTGATACTAATCACAACTTCTTTACCTCTGTGAGGAAATTTGTGTGTAACCATGTGTCTATTGAGGTTGTTTTTGCTTTTATTAGCCCTCGGGAAAGATCTTCAGTAGCTTTTAATATTTATTTTATCATTTCAAGTTAAATATTTTCAAAAACAACTTATTTTGTAATGTTTTGAATCTCTTGAAACTTATTTACCCAACCAGATAAATATTTTCTATTGATTAATTCCCAACCGAAGTTCAACAGGTTATTAATCTGTCTTTGTAATCCAGTGGATTTTCTTTTAACATCCAGGCAAAATAAAAATTGCTATGGTACATGACCAAATTTGGGGGTTGAAACATAATCAGCAAAGAAAATCCAGCTAAATTTATCATATGAGATTTTTAGATCCTAGATCCTGAATGAAGCAAAGGCATTTTTCATCTTGATAGCCCTGTACTCACTGGACATAGTCTTTCTTTCTGATTACCATCTTTCTAATCATCATCTTTCATAATAACATATTTCTGAATCCTCATTTACCTTTGGTTTTGGATGAGGAAATTGGTGTTTTATAAATCTCCTCCTCCAATGTAAAACCTATGCAACAATAATGCTTTGAAAGTGGGAAATAGTTATCTTGAAGATGTTGCCAAATGCAAAGATAAACACTCTTTCTCTGCTTGAGAGACAGTGAATATGCTACATCTGAGTATTTTAATATCTGTCTACTTTAAATTAATCATCTCAGAGTTTTTGTAATTCCCTTATTTTCTTGGCCCTCCACATTTGGGAAAACAAAATGACTTAATTCTATAGGTTAGTTTGTGTATAGTAGGTAGGAGATTATATTCAAGAAAACCAATAAAATTATTTTTCAACTTTTATAATTGTAAAATATTTTAATACAGGATACAAAACATCTAAGAAAGCATGCCCCATTTTACCAGTATTTTCAAGTAATTTGTTTGGGCCTAGGTATGGGGCAAAGAAGGAAAGGAGACTTAACATCTAACATTCATAAAAATTAAAATTCTGGATGATGTTTTCATAGGAAATATTTTAAAGAAGTTGGTAGAATTTTTTTTAAAAGAAGAGCTGTATTAGCTAATAAAATATTTTATAAAAGTGTACTTATGTGGATTTATATATAGGAAAACAATTAAAATTATTTTCAACTTTTATAGTTGTAAAATATTTTAACAGGATGCAAAGCTGCTAAGAAAGCGTGCCATGTTTTACTTATTTTAACATTTTCAAATAATTTGTTTTGGTATGTGGGGCAAAGACGGAAAAAAGATATAAAACCTAACATTCATAAAATTAACACATTTTCGATGGTGTTGTCATAAAAAATAGGTTTTGAAGAATTTGGTAGAATTCAACAACAAAAAGGGAAGAATAGTATTAACTAGTTAAGTATTCCATACAGATAAAATGTATTAATATGGATTGTGTTACTTTCATGTACTATGTATATCTGAAAATTAAAAAAGCCCTTGAAGATCCTCTGTGTGTTTTCTATCTTTTCTCATCCTTTCCCAAGCATACATTTGGACATTGAAATAATTCTGATAGGAAGGTAGAAATCACAGGTCCCTGAATTTATTAACCGTGTTTACATTGGCAATAATCTTTCTTAGCCATTTAAAAACAATTCTGCATCATCTCACACAGAAGGCAGTGTACTGTGATGGAAATAGTGTGGGCTTTGTAACCAGATGGGTCTAATTTTAAATCCTGGCACTTCTCTTTACTGGGCGTATTACCTACCATCCATTCAAAAGATATTTATTGAGTACTTACTGTATGCCAGGCACTGTGCTAATTAAGCTTTGTCATGTTGCATGACTGTGAGCTTCAGTCTCTTCACCTGGAAATTAGAACTCACACTACCTACTTGGCAGTGTCATGATGAGGATTAGTAAGATAGTGTGTTAAAGTGTTCGGCACATGTAGATATTCACTCAACAAGCGTTAGTTCCGTATGCTCATTCTCCCTGCCCGCTAAATAACCAGTTTAGTAATATCAAGTTACATGGTAGGTTGTTTCATCTCAGCATTTCAAACAGTTCTACATTCCAATTTTAGTATATGTGCTGCTGAAGCGAGCACTCAAACAGTTCTACGTTCATTCTGTGTCAATAAATAGGAATACCGGGCTACAGCTTTTGCTTTGGTACAAATAATGCTATTCGCTTCTTCCCTGCATTTCTTTTGTTTACTTTTTTGAAATGTGAAGACTATGAGTGAACACTGTGGGTTGGGTGATGGGTAGATTTTCCTCAGTGCAATGAAGTGTTTTCCTTAGTTTCCTATGATCATATTTATGCACATCTATTTGAAACTATAGCTAGAAGTGAGTTGCACACAAGCTAGAACAGTCCCCCCATCTTCTGCTTGTCAGAAGCTGATGTATAGCTTCGGTGAATGATACGTGTCTTCTACTCTTTTGCTGCTAATAGACACCACATCAAAAAACATTGAGTACTTTTCATGTAAATTTTAATTTAAAAAAAAATTAGAGAGAGAGAGAGAACCTGAGTGGGGGAGGGGCGGGGCAGAGGGAGAGAGAGAAGCAGACTCCCCACTAGGCAGGGAGCCCGAGGTGGGTCTCGATCCCAGGACCCTGAGATCATGACCTGAGCTGAAGGCAGACGCTTAACCAACAGAGCCACCCAGCACCTCTCATGTTGATTTTAATAATAAAATTATATTTCATTTGGTATGTGTCTATTATACAAGCAATAGGAACTCATGGAATTTTTGTTTTGAAAAAAATTTGAAAGAAGGAAAAATATTCAAATAAGCACAGTTACTGTCTTACTGTTTTCTTCCAACTTGGAGTCATATTTTGCTTGTTTTCTTTTAACATTATTTATTTATTTTTAAGATTTTATTTATTCATGAGAGACAGAGGGAGAGAGAGAGAGAGAGAAGCAGAGGGAGAAGCAGGCTCCCAAGGAGCAGGGACAGTCTTAGGTTTTGTTCTTTATACAGACAGCAGATATGGAAATGTTTTACAGAGACTATTTTTAATGGCTACCTAATATCCCATCGTGTGTGTGTGGCCAGAGATGATGTATCTAAACCACTGTTGAGCTATTTCCATTTTTGCTACTGCATGTATGTATGTAGAACAACACTACAAAGAATATCTTAGTGCAGTAAGATTTTTTGATTTTCAGATTATTTCCTTAGGATCGATTCCATAGAGTTAAATTTCATTAAAAAAATGTGGATACCCTTAAAGCCTACAATGCAGGTTGCCTCAAATTACCTTTGCAAAAGGATTATATACACCACCCGAAGTCAATGTACAACAACGCTCATTTCACAACACCCTCACTGACATCGGTCAGGCTTATTAAAATTATTTCTTGCTAATTTGTGACACTCAGAATTATTATTTTTTTAATTTACATTTGTTCCATGGCTTCTGAGGTTGGGTACCTATTCATGTTTGTTAAAAGACTGCATTTCCTTTTGTCTATTGCCTCTTTACATTCACCCGTATTTATGTGGGCCTAGCCCAGCACTAAGATTGTCTGTGTTACAGATACTGATTTTTAGTGAGTCTGTCTTGTCATTGAGCGCTTAGTAATGTTGATGAAGATGCCATGTGAGTTAGTATATTCTTCCTACTCTGTAGGCTGGAGATTATGCTTCAGCTGCCTAAAATAGTTTATAATTTGTACCATATTCAATATTCATGTTTTATATTAAATACCAAATTTCAAAATCTCAGTGCCTCACCTGTTTAAAGATTCAGTGATCATAATTTCATGGTTGGATACTGTCAACTTTTTAAGTTACGTTTATGTGTGAAATTTCTTAAACCGTTATTACTCTAACCTGAGTTTCTCTTAATAGGACATAGAAAGCAAGATTAGTAAATTTTCAACAGTTTTTGGCCTCATGTGAACCAGTGGAGTTTTATGTCCAGTAATAACTCCCTATATTCTTAATCTTTAGAAATTATATTCTCTGTAGCTCTGTTCATATTCTTTGATAAATCCATTGAGTATTCTCAAAAGAGGTAGGGTTAGAGATAATGGGAAGAAAAAAAATCTCTTTTTGAAAATTCTTTTTTTAACCATGAGAAACAAAAGGAAAATCTGAAAAGAATAGGTATATAACTTCATGTATAAAAATAAAATTTAGATGGGTCAAGAACTTAGAAAGGCAGAACTTTAAAACTTTTGGAAGAAAATGGGGAAATGTAAATTAAAACCACATGACAAAATGTACAAGTCTGATACTAATTGGTGAGAGCAGGGAGCAACAAGAAATCTCATGAAATTGTAGGAGGAGGAAAAATTGGTACAGCTGTCTTGGAAAATAATTTGTTATTACCTAATAAATTTTAAAAGCATGTAGTCCCTGCAATCAACAATTTTACCCTAAAGAAATGGTTGTACAGATATGCAAGGGAAAACAATTACAAGAATATTTATGGAAACGGGGTGCCTGGGTGGCTCAGTTGATTAAGCATCCACCTCTTGATTTTGGCTCAGGTCATGATCTCAGGGTTGTGGGATCAAGCCCCGTGTTGGGGTCCATGCTCAGCGCAAATTCTGCTTGTCCCTCTCCCTCTGCTCCTCCCCACCGTTCATGCTCCTTCTATCCCTCTCTCAAATAGGTAAAATTTTTAAATCTTTACAAAAGAATATTTATGGAGGGGCGCTTGGGTGGCTCAGTCGTTGAGCGTCTGCCTTCGGCTCAGGTCATGGTCCCGGGGTCCTGGGATCGAGCCCCGCATCGGGCTCCCGCTTGGCAGGAGGCCTGCTTCTCCCTCTCCCATTCCCCCTGCTTGTGTTCCCTCTCTCGCTGTGTCTCTGTCAAATAAAGAAATAAAATCTTCAAAAAAAAAATATTTATGGAAGCATTATTTGTACC